GGGGGGGGGGGGGGGGGGGGGGGTTTATCGGGGGGTTAGGAGAGGTAGGAATCATCAATTTTATGAACGGAGCTTCGTAAGGGGGAAGTGGCTTCCGTGGCCACCGGAATGCAGTGGCCATGAACCCGGGCCGTACCGGAATGCAGTGGCCATGGAACCGGGCCGTATTTATGTTGGTGTTCCAACGTTGACATGCGTTTATATAGTGCCCCAACATTTTGAACATAGATATAAATATATACCCCATCCGTCCCAAAATGAATTACACTCTTCAGTATTCAAAAGTTACATAAACTTTTGTTTATTTGTAGATTTTGATTGATTATTTGATAAAATAAAATATTCTTGTCACTTCTTATTTTGTAATACTTTTGATGTAGTATCTAACTATGTATGTTTTATTTTTCATTTCTATGCTAATCTTTAAATAAAATGAATTTAAAAAAATTAAAATTTTATTTCATTTTACATAAAGTGTAAAAATTTTGAATGGAGGAAATATAAATTTTTTGAAGCTGCGATATAAAAATACTGTAGTCAATCGGCGAAATGGAGAGGGTGGGGGTAAGGATATGGTTTAGGAGAGGGGCAGTTAGGGGGTAGAAGCCATAAATTTTATGAACAGAGCATCACAAGTTTCTCGGGTCATAATATGACCCGAGGCTATAAGGTCAAAAGAATCATTTTGTTATTAATATTGTACTAGTATTTTGGCGATAAAATATATGAAGCTCTTATTTTAGAACTATTTCATCTTTCATTTCTAGTGTAATTATTTTCTCATAAAATATCCAAACTTCCAAAAGTTCCATGCTTGGATTGAATTAAATAATCAAAAATCATAATTGAAAAAAATGCTTGGAATGTACTTTTTGGTGTACTCTAACATTTTTTCCAAAAAAATGGTTGAATGCCAGGGCATCCCATCATCACAGATAGTGTAAATCATAAATTATGATATAATCTTAGGGGATGATACTCTGTGAAGATCCTAAAGTGCTACAAGGGCTCGAGATATATTGAATAATGTAGAGACCTTATGTAAACAAGAAATTATCTTTCGATTGTATCCCAAGAATATTCGTAACTGCTAGAATCTTCGTGTATTGAACACTTTGTATAATAAAATCTTTCATTTGACTCATCCTGAGAAAATATTTGATATTTACATGATGCATTCTGATGTTGAAAATAGATATTTTTCTAACTTGCACAGGCCATGCAACTTAGAATAATATTTATGGTTAACTCATAATGTTCATAGACAATATTATTCCATCATAAATTCAACTGAAAATACATAAAGTAATATTACAAATGTAATTCTAAATCTAATCCCCCGGGATTTAAAAACTCGTCATAATTAGCCTCAGGACCCGGAAAAGCTTTAGCAAACGCTAGCTTGTCTAAAAGTTCATCAATAAAGAAAGAAGAAATAAAAAGCTTCCTCTGATTCAAAGCCTTGAAGTTCTGCCTCACCGCATCATCTGGCCTTAGACTAAGAATAGCTAAGAGCATTATTATTATTTGGCCTTAGATTAAGAATAATTTAAGGGCAGTGTCAGAATAATATCTGCATTGAATAAAATGTGTTGATATGAACTGAACATTATCAAAACTGTGAATGTCTGAAATGAACATTGTGTACATGATATCAAATGATTTGAGTATGAATTTAGATTCAGTTTATATGGATGTTCGATGCATTAGATATGCTTACTCAGCTTTACCGCTGAGCGTGTAGTGTGTTTTATTTGCTACACGCAGGTAAAATAGGAAGACCAATGTGATCCTGGCGGCAGATGGGACGAGATTGTCGGGATGGATGTGACAAGTTTGAAATAATTTATGATGTGTCAATATTAAATTCGCTTCCGCAATATTATTGAATACTCCGTACTGTATATGTTATGAAAAATATTATTGTGATAAATAAAGTTGTTTGAAAAGTTTTAAATTTTCACAATTACCAAGTTAAATACTTTAGTCCGAAAGGGGCTGCAGACCTAGACGAATTAGGGTGTTACAGGTCAAAAGAATCATTTTGTTATTAATATTGTACTAGTATTTTGGAGATAAAATATATGAAGCTCTTATTTTAGAACTATTTCATCTTTCATTTCTAGTGTAATTATTTTCTCATAAAATATCTAAACTTCCAAAAGTTCCATGCTTGGATTGAATTAAATAATCAAGAATCATAATTGAAAAAAATGCTTGGAATGTACTTTTTGGTGTACCCTAACATTTTTTCCAAAAAATGGTGGAATGCCAGGGCATCCCATCATCACAGATAGTGTAAATCATAAATTATGATATAATCTTAGGGGAGTATATTCAAATATGATTTTATTAGATTTTTTTAGATTTCAAAAAGTTAATGGATTTGAAAAATTTGTAGAATTCATGTAAAGTTTGGTTGATTTTTTGTAGAATCCATGTAGAATTTGAAAAATTTATAGAATCTGCCAAAGTACAAATACTTCCCATTTCAATTATAAAAGGAAAAAAGGTCGAGGGAATCGGTCGTAGAACAGAGAGGACAGGTGAGAGAACGAAGAACCGGCCTAGGGCTTCAACCCTATATGTCTGGCATGACTTCGACTTGACTCCGGCGACGGCAGTTGCACGACAAAGATGGTGGCGGCGGTTGGTAATGTTGCTCTTATTGCTCCACGCCAAGAGGAGAAGCAGTAAACCTAGGGTTGCTCCACGCAACAAACAAAGGGGGCAAAATAAGAAAAGATTACCTATTGCTCCATCCGTCCGTGCTTCTCCTCCCTGCCATACCTCCATAGTAAAGAAACACAATCAAGATCTTCTGTTTACATTATCAGATGCGTTAAGGAAAGAAGCGGGAAAGAAAAGAATGAAGAAAGAAGAAAAGGAAAGAAATGCTAAGCACGGACGGATGAAGGACGTACGAATGTGGGAGGACGGACGGATGGAAGTCCATAGAAATCTAGGGTTGTGAGAATAGATTTCTAGAAGTGAAATGTTAAGCATTTTTTTAGAGAAAATCCAACAAAATTCATAAAGTATTACTCCCTTCGTCCCGCTATATTCGTCCATTTTTGACTTTTGAAACTGTTCATCTAGGCACTTTGAGTCATCAAATTCTCTCAATGTGTAAGCCTAAATATAGTCATGTCTGATCTTGTTTGATTTGTCTTAACATATAGATTATTAATATATAATTTCTATAATTTTTTAATATACAAATTACAAGATAAAATGGATTAAAAAAGTACATTGGATGGTGTGCAAAAATGAAAGTGGACAAATACTCTGGGACGGAGGAAGTAAAATTCATAGACTCTTAAATACTTCAAAACTTTTAAAGATTTGAAAATTCAAGTTGAATACTTCAATATTTTTTAAGACTTTGGAAAATTCTTATTGAATATATTAGATTTTTTAAAGATTTTTGAGATTCTAGATTAAATACACTAAGATTTTAAAAATCTAAACAGTGTAATAAAATCTTATTTGAATACACATCTTTAGTGTAGTTCTAATATCTCACTGTGCATCCTAGCCTTTTTAATGGAAAATGCTAAGGATACACCAAAGGTGTAGCTCAAATGTCTCCCACCCCTTCATAATTACATGAAAAGATAAGTAAAATTCAAAAAAAAAAATTAAAAAAATTAAAAACAAAATAAAATGAATGGTAAAGAATGAGATGATATACATTAATGGTACACCTTTGGTGTACACTTAACATCTCCCTTTTTCCATATGCAATGATGTTTCCAAAAAAAAATGACGATCCAAACGAGGCTTAACGGCATCAGAGGTAGGTCACGTTCTTTCCGTTGCCACTTGCCACGACCTTCTGCTATAAAACAGGCCCCAACCCCAGTTGGCTTTTCACCATTCTTGTTCTCCTTCTCATCTCAATTAGACGATCGATCTCAATACTCTCCGTTTCTCCGCAATTCTTCAAGGTAATTTCTCCTATTTCTCTTCTCCTTTGAATCGTATGTTATTCCTCACTCGATTTTCGTTTGGATTTGTAGGATTTTGAATATCTTCGAATTTTTGTTAGATCTGTGTTATTTTGTTAATTTTTGTTTAAATCAGTCTCTTGAATTCGTTCGATTTGGGATTTCATTACTGCACCGAGGATTACCTCTAGATCTGTATATGTTTTATGTTGATCCTTGTATTTGTTTGACCAGATCTGGATTTGTTAGGTTCATAGTTGTCTATTCATCGCAACAATCAGATCTTGTTGCATGTGATTCCGATCTAGAAATTTTCAGTTATGCCTTCTTTAAAGTCAATAATTTTTTATGAATACGGACCTTAATTTACCCAATTTAAGTTGGTAGGGTGTTTTCTCCTTTGATCACGCGTTGTCTGTGTTTCAAAACTGCAATTATTATCAGATCTGATAAGCTTTGAATTTATTTAAAGAAGATGAAAATAGATTGTTTTTATTATTTTATGTTCATGATCTGTCAATGGCTATTGAGTTGATCGCTCTTTTTCCTTTGATCATGAGTTGTCTCTGTTTTGGATATTCAATTCTAATCAAATCTGTAATCCTCTTAGCTTTGAATTGTCTTAAAGAAGATTAATAAGCATTGTTCTTAATTGTTTTATATTCATGTGCTGTCAATGACTACGCAGATGCAAATCTTCGTCAAGACCCTAACTGGAAAGACAATCACCCTTGAGGTCGAGAGCTCTGACACAATCGATAATGTCAAGGCCAAGATCCAAGACAAGGAGGGTATTCCCCCAGACCAGCAGAGGTTGATCTTTGCTGGTAAGCAGCTAGAGGATGGCCGCACCCTGGCTGACTACAACATCCAAAAGGAGTCCACCCTCCACCTCGTCTTGCGTCTCCGTGGTGGTATGCAAATCTTTGTCAAGACCCTCACAGGGAAGACAATCACCCTTGAAGTTGAGAGCTCTGACACGATTGATAATGTAAAGGCCAAGATCCAGGACAAGGAAGGGATCCCACCAGACCAGCAAAGGTTGATCTTTGCTGGTAAGCAGCTAGAGGATGGCCGCACCCTTGCCGACTACAACATTCAAAAGGAGTCCACCCTCCATCTTGTCTTGCGTCTCCGGGGTGGTATGCAAATCTTTGTCAAGACCCTCACTGGGAAGACGATCACCCTTGAGGTTGAGAGCTCTGACACAATCGATAACGTGAAGGCCAAGATCCAGGACAAGGAGGGAATCCCACCAGACCAGCAGAGGTTGATCTTTGCCGGCAAGCAGCTTGAAGATGGTCGCACTCTTGCGGACTACAACATTCAAAAGGAGTCCACCCTCCATCTTGTCTTGCGTCTCCGTGGTGGTATGCAGATATTTGTCAAGACCCTTACAGGGAAGACAATCACCCTGGAGGTTGAGAGCTCTGACACAATTGACAATGTGAAGGCCAAGATCCAAGACAAGGAGGGTATCCCACCGGACCAGCAGAGGTTGATCTTTGCTGGCAAGCAGCTCGAAGATGGTCGCACCCTTGCTGACTACAACATTCAAAAGGAGTCCACCCTCCACCTTGTCTTGCGTCTCCGTGGTGGCATGCAGATATTCGTCAAGACCCTCACAGGGAAGACCATCACCCTCGAGGTGGAGAGCTCTGATACTATTGATAATGTCAAAGCTAAAATCCAAGACAAGGAGGGCATCCCACCGGACCAGCAAAGGCTGATATTTGCCGGAAAGCAGCTGGAAGACGGACGCACCTTGGCTGATTACAACATTCAGAAAGAGTCCACCCTTCACCTTGTCCTCCGTCTCAGGGGAGGCATGCAGATTTTCGTCAAGACATTGACAGGGAAGACCATAACCCTGGAGGTGGAGAGCTCGGATACAATTGACAATGTCAAAGCCAAGATTCAGGACAAGGAGGGGATCCCCCCGGACCAGCAGAGGTTGATATTTGCCGGGAAGCAGTTGGAAGATGGAAGGACCCTGGCTGACTACAACATTCAGAAGGAGTCCACCCTTCACCTGGTCCTCCGTCTCCGTGGTGGATTTTAATTGGATGGATGAATGCATTGCTGCTGTTGGGTGTCTTGTGTTGTTTCGCAATGTTTGTTGATTGTGTTGAATGTGTTGGGGTCCTGGTTTGGCCCTTGGAATAAACCTGGTTTCTTATGTCTGTATTGAACAAGTATTTTTTCAGTGTTTTAATAGTTGTGTTGGTGTTTTTGTTCATTCATGGGTTACTAAAAGTGGTTGGTAGCCAAGCTTAGTCTGCAACCAAACTTTGGTCCCAAAGCTTGTGCGGGTGGTTCACGAGAACTTAGTCTTCACGGGAAGAGAGATTTTAAACCAAATATATCGGGTTTACAACCGTGGTGATTGTTACCTTTTGTAAGTCTAACCACAACTCACACACAAATGCTTGTAGTCCTCAAGACCATCATGTTTTGTAACTTGTTTTCAAGTAAATTTTCGTTCTCGAATAAAACCTTTTTTCACTTTTTTTTATCATATCATTTCTAATTTTGTAGATTTTTTAATGTAATTTTTTTACTACGTAATTTTTATTTTTTTTATTTTATACCATTTTTTTTATATAAAATGTTTTGAAATAATTTCAGTCAAACATCGTAAATCAAAATAAACAATTTAAATTAGAATGAAGGAAGTACACTCTTTATCAGTTGCTTGATAGAAATACGTTTTGTCGTGATTTATTTTGTAGAATTTTTTAGACCTGTGCAAATAAGGATCCGTGCCAGATCTGGACCGGGCTTGATACAAATTATTAGCCCATTTGCATGGGCGGGCTTGGCCCGGCCCGGATTTGATGGGCTAAACTCTTTACCCATACCCGCCCATTTTAGCGGGCCGAACTCCCCACCGGGCCGCCCGGCCCGGATAAAACATCAAGTAAATCTTTTTCACAAAAAAAATCAAAAAGAAAAGATTGAACTTCTTTTCAAATGTTTAAAATAAAAGGATCACTCGCCACATTTACATAGAAAACATAATAATAATAATATTGTTACATAATTAATAAACCCATCATACAGATTCATTAAAACACTATTGATTTTTTTTAAGAGGGGTGAGTGATATGAACTATAATACATGAATTAAAGAAAATTTTAAAATTTATAATGTCTAGATAATTAATAATAAAGTAAATGTATTTAATGAATATGGGCGGGCCAATTGGCCCGGATGGGCTAACAGTAATTTCCAGATCTACCCAAATACAATTCGGGCTTGGCCCGGCCCATCCATGTGGGTATTAAAGATTGTCCATATCCGCCCATTTTAAAGGGCGGGCTGGGCGGGTCGGACGGACCGACCCTTGTTTGCACAGGTCTAGAATTTTTGATGTAGTTTCATATCCAAATCAAGTCTTACTACCAAAAATGCTTAGTCCAAAATAATGACATACAAATACTAGTTTTACAAAATAGTTAAACTAAATAAGAAAGGTTTTGGGCATAGAGGTATTAAGTAAGCAAATAGTTCTAGGCCTACAAGCTATTAGTATTGACGTAGCGACATAACTCTAGCAAATTCTTGCGTGGTCCTAAAATACATGTGGTATAAGAATTGAGGTTTTTACAAAAAAAAAAAATTACTTGTCATCCCATGAAGAGTAAGAAAATCCACATTTCACATGTAGATTTTTAAATTACGGAAGAACAAATTTCCTATTTCAGACATATTTGGTTATATCATTAGAGTTTAGAGTTAATGTTTATTTTTAGCTGTTAGCATCAAGGTTAAAGATTAGAGTTTTGACTTTGTATTGTTTGGTATTTGCACATTCAAAAAAGCTACGGAGTAATAAATTACTAAAAAAATCCATTTAACACATGCGGTTGTAAACTCATAGGAGTATGCACTTAGGGTCCGTTTAGTATACGGGATTAATGGAATTGGAATTAAATTGGAATTAAAATTCCATAGAAATCAATTCAATAGAATTGAATTTACCAATTCCAATTCATATTTTGTACTATCAATTCCAAACCCACATAATTTTTGTACTACCAAACACCAGAATTCAAATTGAAGTTCTCAATTTTAATTACGTTTAAATTGTGTCCCAAACGGGCCTTAAAGTATGCGATTACAACAATTTGCTTCCAAAAAGTTAATTCCAAACAGGGCCTTCAAATAGGAGTGTGTGGTTTTAAAATGTAAACTCATATGCACCACACAATTCACCATCTGTCCAAAATAAAACTTGCCACTCATATTTGTACTCCAAGTTTTTGTACCTCACTTTGTACCCCGTAGGTTTGCACCAACACTTTGTGTTGGTGCAAAACTAATTTTTGTTAATGCACCGACACTTTATTTCCGTATAAATTTTTGTTAACGCACCAACACTTGTGTCGGTGTAAACCATCAAAATGTTTGTGTATAACTGCAGTGTACAAATGGGGTACAATTTGTGGTGTAAGTGTAGCATTGTTGTTACTTTTATCAACAACCATGCTACATTTACACCACGAATTGTACCCTAATTGTACACCGCACTTATACACAAACGTTTTTATGGTTTACATCGACACAAGTGTTGGTGTGTTAATAAAATGTTAATGCATTAATAAAAATTAATTTTGCACCAACACAAAGTGTTGGTGCAAACATGCGGGGTACAAATTGGGGTACAAAAACTTGGGATACAAATAGCTTTATCCCTTTTATCAATTTCAGATTACTCCATATATTGCACTCTCCCCATCACAACAATATTTATAACAATTTTAGTGTATAATTTAAAGAAATTTACCTAACTAGAATAAAAATGTAGACCACATGCCTAAAATATGATTTCTAAATGTTTATCTTTAAAATAAGACTACTAGTGTCACCTCCGTACGTTGCACGTGTCATATTTATGTTACTAAATTAAGATCTTTTTTCAATGACATAGATTTAAAAACATACCTTAAAGAAACTAATTAATAATTATGAACATATTTGCAAATGATCGTATTTATACTATGAATTTTTTTTGCTTATTCTATTTTTCTTTTTCGGATTTTTTATTTTTAAAATTACAATGTAATATTTGCCAAATTACATGGTTGGTGTTACTTATCATTTCAAGATTCCTATTTTAATTTAAATTTTTAATTATCAACGTGTATTTATGATTCTTTCTTACCAAAATTGTGTATAAAGAAAATACTTTATTAAAAATACCTATAAAGTATAAATAGAAACACAAATGCAATTTTAATTTCGATACTTGAAGGTATGAGAATATCTTTTTGCTCAAGGCAACATTTTCAATTTTTTTGAAGATGGTAATTTTTTAAACACAGTAATCACAAAAAAAGAAACATACCCTTTTTATATTATTATTATTACATTGCTTATAATGAAGTTACCATATTTAAAATATGTATAAAGTAAAAACATAAACACAATTATTTTTTTATCAAATTTTGGTGTTTTTTACCATTTCAACATTTCATTTTTAAATTAAATTTTTAATTGTCATCATGTATTTATGATTCTTTCTTACCAAAACCGTGCATTAGAAAATCACTTTATTTAAATTAACTAAAAGTATAAATGGAAACACAACTGTGATTTTAATTTTGATACTTTAAGATATGAAAATATTTTTTTCAAGGCAATAATGCTATCATATTTTTCCAAATACGGTAATTTTTTCTATACATGGTAATCAAGTAGAAGAACATACCTTTATTATTATTATTATTATTATTATTATTATTATTATTATTATTATTATTATTATTATTATTATTATTATTATTATTATTATTATTACGTCGCTTATAATGAAATTACCTTATTTAAAATACATATAAAGTAAAAACGGAAACACAATTATTTTTGATCGATTTTTTTCACACTATAATTTCAATTTCCAACTTTTAAATTTCATTTATAATATATAATGTTGGACCAAAAATATTTGGTATGAGAATACTTTTATTCACATGGTACCATACTAAAAATTTTAAGGTCTGGAATTACCTTATTAATAGATAATATATATATATATATATTAAATGGCAATTTAATTACCATAATTATTTTTTACTCGAAACTTTAAATTACTAGTATTTTAACTCGTGCACGGGATGGTACAAAATTGTTTGTGATTCTACATTATAGAATATTAAAATGGCTTTATTTTTTATGAGACATATCATTTAGACATCAAATATAAATTATCTAGGTTTATTGAATTTATATATATCTATAATTTTTATTCCCGTATAAATAAAAAAAATACAAAAAACATTAGTGATTCTATGAATCTTTTCTCCAGCATAAATTTTAAAAAGCTTGAATTACCGATCTCATGATTCTACAATAAAAAAACATTGATTTTTCTCTCCCACATTAATTGAGATTATCGAAAAAAATGATTCCCCTCGCATTGAATATAAAAATTGATTCATCTCTACTGCATTATTTAAAAATAAAATATTGGATTAGTGATCCTATGACTCTACTATTAAAAATATTCATTTGAAAGCAATTAAAATACAACAATCCTTCTCTCCTGCATCAATTTTGAAAAAAAACTAATAAAAAAGTAGTGCTACAATGATTCTGAAGGGAAAAAGAGAAAGAATAAAATAGAAATAGAATATAAGAAAATAACCAAAATAGAATCTTTATGTTTTATCTACAGAATAAGAACTATAATATCAATAAGACCAACATATAATACAAAAATTACAATGAAATGTCAATATATAGTATCACAGTATATTGCAATAGTACCATTTTATAGATAAAAACATATAAGTCTTATTTTTTACTTCTATTTTTGGTTGAATTCTGAAGGAAAATTTACAAAAAAATTTTACTATTTTTTATTCATTTTATTATTTTTTGCTTTAAAATGTAAAATCATTCAAATGCATAGTAGCATTCTGATCAATATAAAATGTTCTAACAACATCTAAATAGTTACAAATTGGAAATTATATTTCTCTTTGATGTGTTTTGTATCCAAGTTTTGATCTTATTCATTTTTGCACCTTGGATCTTCTCCGCACTTTTTCTTGCTTTATTTATTGCCTTTACACCCATTTTCATTGTCAGAGACCTTCTAGCACTCACCTCCGCATCTTGATCTTCCTTATCACAATTGTTTTTGCATACACATGTTTCATCTCTCTCTGTGTCATAACACACGATGTATGTAGTTTCTATGTACAATTATGCAAATGAAAGTGTTGAAGCGAGTCCATCTCATTCAAATTTTCTTATCTTCATGCATAAATATAGTGAATACTTACACAATATAAATTTATAAATATTAAGCTACATCTTAGGAAAATGGTAAATTAAAATACAAATTTATTTTGATTACAATAGTAAGTCAAATTACCAACATAAAATACGAAATTCATATTAAATATTTATTTGAATTAAATACTTGATTATTTTAAATAGTAGTCAAAGCATTTCTTGTTTTATATAATTTTAAAATAGAGATTAAAATATATATTTTTATTTTACATCAATGTTTAAATAAATAGAGTAAAAACTATCTTCATTTTGGCATATCTTAAAAACTATGAAACTTACTCAAAGTATTATTATAAATGAAGGAAAAAAATGTAATATTAAGAAAGAATACTCTAATAAAAATTAAGCTCTCTATTCCATATTTAAAATTTGTCAATGATGGTGAAACAATAGGGAATGCTGGTGTAAAAATAAGAAGTATGGTAACACATTTGTTTCTAAATTGTATATAATAATACAATTAAAATTATTATCATATACTGATAAATAGTTAAAAATAATGTATTGGTTTCTCTATTTTTATATATTCGATCAAATGAGCACCAATGGTAGTTAAATCATACCATAAACTTAATATACTTGATCAAATAATATATAGTATTGTTTTCTCTATTTAACACTTTTATAGTTTAATCATCCCTTATTTTATTCTTTCTTCATTCCAAAATATATTTCCTATTCGAGCGACGTGCAAAATCTCGTGAATTTTACAATGACTTTGTTTAAAAATTGGTATATAAAATAATAAATTAAATATTTAAAAATTATATTAAAAGTTCTATAAAAAGAGGTGAAAAAAATGTTTTATTTTATCAAATGATCAATGAAAACATGCAAACTAACAAAAGTTATCGAGACGTGGTAATAATAAAGAGGTAAATTATTTTGAGACAGAGCGAGGTATATTTTATAACAGTTTTTAAGATATTTTAATTTTTAAATTTTACTTCAATATTTAAATAATAAAACCAAAACTAACTTCATCTAAACATCTCATAAAGAAATATGAAATTTATTAAGAAGTGAAGAGAGTATCTAATCTATTATTTTGAAATTTTGTTATAAATGAAGAGAAACAAATATAAATTAGGAAAGAATATAATGATATAAATGAAGATATTTTTCAATAAAAAATTTACTCATTGATTTCAAACTAAACTATTACTTTATTATTTTCCACGTCACAAATTGTGTGCCATATTAAGTATCAAAAAACGCCACATAAATAATACGGAGTATATACAACATGTTGACTTTCTAGAGATTTAAATCTTATTTATATATATAAAGGATATCTAAGTCATAAAATATGAATTTAGGTATAAAGTTTTATGTGAAAAAATTGTAACTATAATTCATCTTTACATTTTTAAAATAAAATCATTTGACAATTCCCGTAAAGTTTAGTTGTAAAATAAATGTTATTTTTTTAGTTTTTAAGAAAATAAGTCTTTTTGTAAAACATATCAAATGTGAATGTAGATTTTTTATTTTTGAAAATAAATTTATTTTATTTTTTTACTAATTCAATCTATTTTATCCATGTGTTTTTAAACTCTTTTGTTTGAAGTCATGATATTTTTTTGTGTTTTATAGTTTTAGTTATTTCACTCTATTTATAATCGATTATTGATGTTAGAATAATCTATGAACTTCTAGAATCTAAACAAATATTGATATAGAAAAATAAAATGTATCCAAATCTATACAACTTCATATAGAGTTAAAATCACTAATGTGATAAGAAAAGACCATTTTGGAAAAAGTTAAATTAGAAAAGACTACGTACATAATTATTGCTTATTGAGAACTGATTTGAAAAATACCTTAGTAGAAAGAACTAGAGTAAATTATATAAAAGGTCCCCAGTTATAGGTTGTTTTACATATTTAGTCCTTACATATCAAATATTACTAATTATTGCTTATTGAGAACTGATTTGAAAAATACCTTAGTAGAAAGAACTAGAGTAAATTATATAAAAGGTCCTCAGTTATAGGTTGTTTTACATATTTAGTCCTTATATTTATTTCTACGAATGGTCCTTTAATAACATTTCCGTTAAGAACGTGGACAAAATTGTATATTCAAACTTCTCTTTCTCCTCAATTAAGCTTTCTTCATCTTCTCATACTCTTTCCCAAACTCGTCGCTGAGTTTGAAGTTTTTAAACCCAAAACTTAAATGATCGTTCCTCTAGTTAGACAAACAATTGTGAGAAGAATGATAATTTTGGTTTAGGGTTCAAAGCTAGAAACTCAACGACGGGTTTGAATAAGGAGTACAAGGAAAGAGGAAGCTTAATTGAGGAGAGAAAGGAGTGTGAATTTATAATTTTATCCACGTTTTAACGAAAATGTTAACAAAGGACCATTCGTGGAAATAAATATACTAATTGGGGACCAAATTAGTAATATTTGATATGTAGGGACTAAATATGTAAAACGACCTATAACTGAGGACCTTTTATGGAATTTACTCAAAGAACTATATTGAAAATTTACTTAATTTCTTTTTTTAACTTATTTTTAGTTATATTATATTATTCATTTGTAAGCTAAATTCAATTCAGTTATGTACCCATTTTTTGTTGAATTACAACCATATTTTTGCTAAAGAAATTCTCATAAAAAAGAATAAATTAATAATTTTAAAAAAAATTCATATTTTACTTAAAATTTTTTTATATCGGTGTTAGTGTCTTTTATAATGAATAATTCACTTAATTTTTATTGAAAAATTATGTTTTTATTCCATTCATTTTTCTTGATTTTCTTTGAATTCAAAAGTCCATAATATTTTTGTAATATAAAATATACTCATTTAAACTAATCAAATATTTAAATATCAACTTCTAAAGATGATAATACACTATTTGCTAAAGATGATAAATAAATATTTAAAACATGGCATAGACTATGTATTTGTTTCTTTTGTCATGTTATTTAATCTTAAAAAAATAAAAAAATTAGAATGGATATGGGGCACACAAATAATTTTGAATATGAAATGTGACAATAATAGTGAACATATTAAAGAAGTAAAAATAAATTAAAATTGTCAAATAAATGAAATATAAGTTAAACAAATTTAAAGAAAGTAATTTTTTTTTGTAATATCAAATATATTAGTGCAAACTTATCAAATATGCATTACATTCTACACGCCACCAATATATTTAACATTTACTTATTTATGTTAAGCACTTACCTTTTGTGATTGAAGACCATTTAGGAGGGAAAATGCAAAGAAGAATTCATCTCTTTTTAAATATAGTATAGATTGCACGGTTATAATTTGACACTGTATATTGTTATTCCATAACTTTTTATATTATATATTGACATTATTGACATTGTAAATCCTCTTTTATGAATACAAATAGGAAAATTTTTATTTTTAAACTTTCTCTATGTTTTACCAATAGTTTTAAAAACGTCCAGACAGAAAACTGGATGGTCCATCTTTCGAGCGCGTGACCGTGAGGTGGTTGTCTTGGTGGTGAGGTGTTGGGGCCGTGGGTATTTGCAGGACTGAGGGTTGGGTGGCGTACGATCAACGGGGAGGGATTAGATGGGATGAGGAGATTTGTCCTAAAGGTGTAGGGTGGGCGGGGTGTGAGGCTGGGCCGCAGGTGAGGTGGGCCGAGAGTGAAGGTAATGGCAAAATTGGGAGGTATGTCGTTGTTTGTAGATTCATGAAAGGTAAAATTATTAGGGGAAGGCGGGGTGGTTATATGGATAAGTGGGCTCATCAAACACAACATGATGGAAGGCAATGGCTTTGTTTGTGAGAAGGTCAAGGCATCGATACCCACATTGGTTGGATGGATAGCCGAAGAAGATGCATCGAGCTAAGCGAGATGCCAACTTATAAGGGGGTGTGACAGAGATGTTGGGACACCCAAAGACTCCAAGGTGAGAATAGTTAGGAAGTGTGCGGAAGAGGGTAAAAACTTAATTGGTGACATAATAACCTCTGTACTTTGTTGTTGAAATAGTTAGGCTTCGGGTCAATGCATTTGCCCTAAAGGTGGACACGGGCCGGTTTTAAAACCGCCGATTCTAATACTGCTGGCGGGAGAGACCGTACTGGTGGCGGGCAGTACGAGTTACGGTTTCAGTTTTGGTCTGAGAACTGTTTTTTATTTTTTTACATTGAATTTTTGGTGCAAAAATGATAAATAGAATTTTATGTGTGCACATGTAGAATGGTCTACATTTAGTGAGTATAAAATGCTCAAAACTTACAAGCAGTTTTTAATTTCAGCTGATAACATGTTTTTGTATGCTTATAAATTGACTTATAAATTGTTTATAAGCCAGAAAAAAATAAGTAAGACTTAGCTACTTATTTTTAAGTCAGTTTTTTCGTTTCTATGTTTTGACCAGATTATTTGCAAAATTATCTCTCACTATTTATGAATATTTGAAAATGATTCATATATCATTTAAGTCATTTTGTTTCACGAAAGAATAATTGACTTATAAGCAGGTTAAAAGTTAAAAATTGATTATCATCAATAAGACAATAAGCACCAGCACAGAGAAATACCTCCTTAGTCATTGCTTTTCTCTTCCCACCATCATACAAATTAGGTTTGGCTTGGGAAAATCGAAAACCGCAAATCGAACCGAAACCAATCAAAAAAAGCTAGAAAAAAAACTAAACCGAAACAGAATGTAAAAAAACTAAATTGAACCGTTATTGTTTGGTTTCTGTTTAGGTTTTTACTTTGAAAAATCGAACCAAATCGAATAAACCAAACTTTCTTATGTGTTTTGCTTTATTTTTATGAGTATATGTGATATGTAAAAATCATAAAAATATAAATGCAAATAGTTGACTAGTCAATTAAAGTTATTTTTAACTATTAATTAACCATTTTAAACCATATTAAAAATTTTAAAAAAACCTAAGAATATTAACACCAATAACTAATCCAAATACATAATTATGTTAACATTAAACATTGATACAAGTAATTTACATATTTACATAAAAACTTTGGTGTTATAATTGAAATTAAAGTATTATACCAAAAAATGCAAATTCTCTGTACATTTACAAATGTTGTCTTTGGGAGTATTTAAAATCTTCTAGATTTTTATTGGTCACTCGACACATTTTTTTTTGTAAAATTGAACCGAACAGAATACTTACCTTCCGTTCGGTTTTTGGTTTTGTATAAAAATCAAACAAAAAAACTAAACCCAAACCTTCATATTGTTATTCCTTCATCGCATTAGTCATTATTCAAATAAATGTTCGCTATTACTGGACATTATGGACATTATTAAGTGTTATATAGTGAAAACAATAATATAAGTGCTATTTAGGTAAATGACATAAGTTCTAGTGTTATTTAATGCAAATATTTTTATTAATTAAGCCAAAAAATAGCCGTTAAAATAACAGCTTTACCCATTTTCCAAGAGTCTTGACATGAATGATAAATTATGTGTGATTGATAACGTTTAACAATTGAAATCATATACTCCGTAGTTGTAATTTTTCAAACATTTTCTTAAACTCGTAAAAGTCAAAGAAACTATAGAGGAGAACATCAACCACAGATTCAGATATAATTTTAAAAAATTAACTCAATTAAAATTTCAAAAAAAAAAAAACTCCACAAAAAAGTGATCCCACTAACATAGAGTATGAGGAACTTAAATCATGTAGTCAACATTAATCAAAGAATCTCCAGCTTTCTTCAAGGGCAAAAAAACTACACTAATATCCTTTTGAGAGCAAAAAACAAGAAAAAAAGAGAGAAAAAAAAAAAAAGGATAATAAATCGAGATTGGTGAAAAGACATTCTCACATTCCTTCCTTGCTTCACCAAGGAAAAGCAAAAGCAGGGAGACAGGGAAAAGAAAGGAGGAGAAAAGGGTAATTTGATGAGAGCGTCACTTTTGAAAAAGCGCAGGAGACCGGATTTCTCTTGTCCTTTTGTTTGGCAGTCACAAATTAGCAGTAGTAGTGCTGTTACATCATTCATTCAGTTCAGGTGTGGTGTTCCAGACACAGACAGTCCAAAGCATGTTGTCGCAGCAACACTCTCCCTCCGCCTCCTTCCGCCGCTCCCCGCCGCGGCCTGGCGCCACCACCACTCCCAACCCATCATTCTCCAGCCGGTATGTTTTCAAGATTTCATGGTGTCATTTCAATCTGAGTCCCAAGTAACCCAGCTCAACCAATCCCTCAATTAATATGGGTATTAATTTGCAAGATTTGTTTTTTTTGAAATCTTGTATTAGAATATGGTGGTGGGATTTGAATTTGTGGTCAGAGCTCATGAATATGTATGAATTTGTAATAGTGTTAATTACAATTTTGACCAGTTACTTGACACTTCAGAACAGAAATTTCATTTCACCAAATCTAACACAGTTGGGTTTAAGTTGTTGATGATGATGATTCATGGCTAGTTTTCTTTTTTTTCTCCCCAACATTAAAAAATGATTTCATCTTACTAAATTTAACATAGTTGGGTTTGCTGAGTCTCTTTCCCTTGTCCCAAAAGTAGCCAGCAGAGGGAGGGATTGTATCTTGGAAAGTGAATGGAACAGTTCAAGTGTCAAACTGTTTATTGTTTTACAAAAACTTGTTTTGAAGCTTTTTCAAAAACTTGATGTACACAGTACCCGTTTGGAAACAGATTCAACGTTAAGCTTTAGCATATTCAAAAGGCTATCAAATGGCAGCTTTTAGCTTTAGCGTTTTCAAAGTTTTTCTGCACCATTAAAATATTTATCCACAACGCTAACACTAATTGAAAATTTTATTCCCAAACAAATCCATATAGCTTGTTTTTTAAGCGTCTTGGACAACTATCCGAAGTTTGTTGTTAAACGGGCCATGAGTTTTCACATTTCCTCATAATCATCATTTAGCAATGGAGCCTAATTTTATACTCTTATATATCTGCAGCATATTCTCAGATGTAGCTGGAGATATTACAATTCTTGTTAATGGGAAGTCTTTCCTTCTTCATAAGGTATTATTCCCATTTACATGACCCCGCAATACATTCAAGCTTCCCACAACATTTCTTATTATGCGCCGATCCTTATGTTTATTGCCGTGTTTGTTTTTGGTTTAAATATGGTTAGTTTCCTTTGGTGTCTCAAAGTGGGAAGATCAGGAAGATGGTGGCAGAAGCCAATAATAAGAATCCTTCAGAATTAGAACTGAATCACATCCCTGGTGGGCCCGAGGCGTTCCAGCTCGCTGCCATGTTCTGCTACGGGATGAACTTTGAAATCACAGCATCAAACGTGGCCCACCTACGCTGCGCTGCGGAATACTTGGAAATGGCTGATGAGTACCGCGAAGAGAGCCTCGTTTCTCGCGCTGAAGCCTATCTGGATGAAGTTGTGGGGCACAGTCTTGAGAAGTCGGTCGAAGTTCTGTCTGCTTGTGAGGCATTATTGCCTATTGCAGATGAGCTGAGGATTCCGGAAAGATGCATTGACTCCATAGCCAAGATTGTCTGCCAAGAACAGCTGGTGATGGGGTTGTCACATTTAGATTGTGACGACGGTGGTGGTGGATCTTTGGAATGGTGGGTTGAAGATCTCTCCATTCTTGGAATTGGCTTTTACCATAGGCTCATTTCGGCTATGGGGAAAGCCGGGGTGCGCACATACACCATAGTTGCTTCATTGATGCATTATGCACAAGTTTTCCTAAAAGGCATAGGGAAACCACAAATATGGAATCCCGCCCGAGCCCATCCTCGGGCAGTCGAACACAAGCAGAAACTCATTGTTGAAAAACTCGTGACTCTATTGCCCTCCGAGAAGGGACCCACGTCCTACGTTCCCCTAACTTTTCTGTTCGCGATGCTGAGGATGGGGATCGTGGTGGATGCCTCGCTAGCCTGCAGGCTTGAGCTTGAGAGAAGGATTGCATGCAGGTTGGAAATGGTCTTACTTGATGACTTGTTGATTCCTTCCACTCAGACCGGCGATTCCTTGTTCGACGTTGACATGGTCCACCGGATCTTGGTGCATTTTCTCCAACGGGTCGAGGACGAAGACGATGTGGATTTCGGGTATGAATCAGAAGCGCTTGGTTCCCCAAGCCATGGCTCTATATTGAAAGTCGGGAGACTTGTTGACATGTATCTAGCTGAAATCGCTCCCGACCCGTATTTGAGTCTTGATAAGTTCATCGCTATGATAGCCGTTCTCCCGGACTACGCTCGCGTCCTAGACGATGGGCTCTATCGAGCTATTGACATATATTTGAAGGTAACTTAGTTTGTATTTTTAATTGACTCAAGCTCAATGAAATACTTTATGTTTTGTGACACTCCCTTTCAAGTGTGTTACAATACATTGTATAAGTCTATTGTTCATGTATATACATTCATAAAATAGCCCGACCCAACCCGACCCAAAGGTACCTTTACATGGGTCACAACTATATACATATGAACAGAAGACCTATACAATGTATTAGATGAGAGAAATACAAAAACATGTTCTATATACCAAAATAGGACCTTCAATGTTTTTATACCAAAATAGACTTATAATACCAAAAAAATGTCAATATATAATGCCAAAAGACATTGTAAAATGCCAGCAAATAATGCCAAATTATAGCATTTTAAAGTGTCAATCAACGCTCTGAGCTCGGGTCTCTTGGAAGGAAACAGTCTCTCTACTTTCGAGTAAGGTTAAGGTTTGCTTACACACACCCTCCCCGGCCCTACTCTTGTGGGATTCAATTGGGTTCTTCTTCTTGTTGTTTGTACAGTGCCAACACTCCAACTTAGGGGATAAAGAGATAGGAGGTCTTATTTTGTTATAAATTCAACGTTTTATCAGATCAGATTTAATCAGATCAGATCCAATCAGATCAGATCAGATCAGATCCAATCAGACCAGATCAGATCAGATCAGATCAAAACTACAAAAAATCAGATCAGATCAGAAAAAATAAGTTGAACGGAACGGAGCCTTAGTCATACCTAGGTCGACTTCTTTTCTAACAAAGTGGACGACGCCGTTGATGATTTTGGAAATGTTGTTGTTGTGCAGGCGCATCCAATGCTATCCGAGCAAGACTGCAAAAGGCTGTGCGGTTTCATCGAGTGCCAGAAGCTATCCCAAGAGGCGCGCAACCACGCCGCGCAGAACGACAGGCTCCCGGTCCAGGTGGTGGTGAAAGTGCTGTACTTCGAGCAGGTCCGTCTGAAGAGCACAATGTCGGGAGACTCAGTGGACGACAGGTTCCTCTCCCAGAAAATGAGCAGTGGGGTGACCAGCGCAGCCGTGTCCCCGCGGGACACGTACGCTTCGCTGAGGAGGGAGAACAAGGAGCTGAAAATGGAGATATCGCGGATGCGGGTGAGGCTCAGTGACCTAGAGAAGGAACATGTGTACATGAAACAAGGGATGGTGGTCAAGTCTGGAGGACATGGCAGGGCTCTCTTGACCTCCATATCCAAAGGCATTGGAAAGATTGGCATCTTTGGCGGCTCGACGGGTGGGAAACACGGCACGTCCGGGCGGACCGCGGATGGGAAAACGGGCAGGAGCAAGAGATTCTCTGAGGCATAGAGTCATACAGTTGGAGTACAGAAGATCTGAGTTTGTTTTTAATTGCTGTGGTATCTATGACTTGAATGATCTAAATCAGTTGCAGATATAACAGCAGTTAAAGTGCAGGAATGGGAATGCACTGAAAAATATTTTACATTCATTTGTGCATATGTAAGTCTTGTGTTATCCAAAAAAAAGTGTCTAATTTTTCTTACACATAGTGAATCATATAGTCTGAATCAATGCAATGAATAAATGATAAATAAAGTATTATTCTATACATGAATAAAAGTGGTAAGAAATAATAGGTAGATACTCCGTAGTTAATTATGCTGGAAAAATTTGCCCACCAACCAACACAAACTTTTTAATATGAGAATTTTTCTCAAATAAGGGAAGAAACTACTCCTTACGTCCCAATTTTGATTACAATATTTCTTCCTCTCATCTCTCGATTACTTTTGTTTATTTATGTATTTCCATTGATTATTTGATAAAATAAAATATTCTTGTCACCTCTTATTTTATAGAAGTTTTGATGTAGTTTTTAAATAAGTAATTTTTTTATGTAACATTTTGTAAATAAAACGATTTCAAAAGATACGGGATTTTTCCTCGTAAATCCCAATTTTGTAATCAAATTTAAGACGGAGGGAGTGCGATTCTTTTGAACTAAACTTTTACTATAATATCAATTGGAGTACAACATCATCACAATAATATAACAATTGATATTTTATTCACTTTGTAAAAAAAAAAAACACTTGGTAAACTCTCACCTCTTTGAGGCTATGTTTCTCCTCACTTTCTTAGTTCTCTCTTCTCTTCTTCACTTTGGGGCACTCCTTCACCAAAAATGGCAAGGGTAACTTCAAAATCAAGATATTGGTAAAAGTCTTTGAAGAAATTGAGGGATTGGACTTTTTAGGTGGAAGGAAGGTTAGGTGTCTATTCTATATCTAATGCTCCATATTTATGAAATAATTTCTTTAACTTTATCATAAAATAAACAACCAGGGCTTTTTCAAAATGCTAATGCTAATCTCTAACGCTGATGCCAAACAGGGTCTAAGTTTATGTTCAAATTGGAGAACCAATGCAATCCCTTGTAATCTAAATAGAAGTTCACACTATTACTCTCATGCTCTCACGCCACCCTGAGCATCACCAACCGTTGCCATTGACACTTTTTTATTATCATCACATTCTCATCGTTCATATCGTCAAACTCCCATTTAAACGGTAAAAACGATATTATTCTTATTCTCTATTTTAGTATTTGGATGATAATCTCTCATCCAAAAAAGAATTACTCTTCAATATTCATAATTCAAGAAAACATTTTTTTATTTGTACATTTTGATTACTTATCTGATAAATAAAATATTCTCATCCTCTCTTGTTTGGTAAAAAAATTAATTTTTTTGCTTTAAGAGCTAAATTATTGATATCCTTTTCAAAACGGCACAAACACAGGACCTTATGTTTCCAGTTTCCACTACCCTCAACTCCCTCCAGGCCTTCGCTGACGTAATTAACAGCTTTTGGATGAACCTGATCCATATCCAATTGCACCTCCGCTAAAGATCGTCCAAATCAATCAGATTTACGCGAAACCCTGAAGGAGATATGCAAGCCGGAGCCCTGCTGCTTTCCTCCATGACACTTTCTTCATCTTCTTCGTCCGCGTCTTCATCTTCCTCGTACGATAACCTCTTACTAATTCTCAATCCAATTTTTTTTCTCTCGAATTCGATGTATTGATCATTGTATTGTTCTGCTGCTGCAGATATTCTCTTTTGTCTATCTCTCTTCCCAGCTTTCAAATTCGAAAAGCCTTTTCATTTCCTTGCAAACTTAACTCCGGGATTGGTAGAGGTTCGTCGCTTTCACTCCTCCATTGATTTACTCAAATGTAGGCCTTAGTAACCGGGCTAGCAGAAATTGGTGATGTAACAAAAGACATTTGAGTCTGGAGAGTTCATCTTAAACTCGAACGATCGGTAGTATTTAACATTAGATTGATTTTTTCAGTGAGAAGTCTACTTTAGGTTTACATTAATCAGATGATATAAATGATGAATATGAAATACACTTCAGTATCAACTTAACACAAGTGCCTTCCATCTCTACAGGTAGCAGGAATGCCATGGTCTCTCGGTTGAGGGCTAGCTTTTGGGAAGCAATTAGATCTGGGTACCTGACAACTCTAACTAATTTACTATTATGATCTCAATCATCAAGAACAAATCCCATCTTACCTATGTCCTTGCAATTTATTGACCAAATCCGGAGTGTGCACTTTAATGCTATTGAGCCACCAAGTTTTAATACCAAAATATGGGATGGGACTGCTTTAGGGTGTGTTTGGCTTAAGGAGGAAGGATGGTGGAGGGGATATCTCCTCTGATTTTACATTATTATGTAAAACATGGGATGGGAGGGAAGGATAGAGAGAAGAGAACCCCCTTCACCGAAATTCTTCTCCAAAGTAGGGAAGGCTGAGAGGTGCTTAAGTGGTTGGAGCAACACACTTTCTCACGCCTCACTAAGGTTCACCTCCTCCCCCTAACTCCTCCCCCCAAATCCCCCGGAGTTTATCCCCCAAAAAAATCGTAATCGGGGAGGGTAGTATCTTCCCTCCACTCCCTTTGAACCAAACACACCCTTATTACAGATTAGTTTTAAGATATACCTTTGTGTATTTTACTCTGTCAAAAATGATTTGGAGGGAAGATTTCAGCTAACCAACACAAAATTTCTACCAACAGACGTTTGACCGAAATCTGCTCTTGCCTACATCAGGTATGAAACTTTTGCAATGAATAACTTTTACAATGTTTTATATTGCAGGTTTTCGAAGAATAATAGCAATTTGCAGATTGTTGAGCCTCCATCTTCGATCCAAGAAGAGGAAGATCATACTCCTGAAGAGTTTGTTCTAGTTGAAAAGCCACTACCAGATGGAGCAGTTGAACAAATTATATTTTCCTCTTGTGGGGATATTGATGTATATGATCTTCAAGCTTTATGTGATAAGGTGATTGAAATTAAACTATCTGTTTCTAAAAAATTCTTACTCTTGAACTAAATGGCTTGTTTAGCTAACAGAATTTGCTGGGAATAGAGTATGATTCTAGAAACTTGACAATTTCTTTATTCTGTTTGTTTTCACTTCCTTGGAATGACCAATTCCATTGACTCCCTTGTGTGAACTATTCTCATTGACGGTGTAATTCAAATCGTACGTTGTTTGTCTTTATTGTTTATTTAAAATAGACCTCTCCCCCATCAGTCTTAACCAAGGTTACAAAATGCTATGAGGTTTTAATAATGTATAATGGACTACGGAGTATATGTTATTTGTTAGACTATAGCATTGTAGTCATATATGATATTTCTGTATTGCATTTGCTAAACCAACCAAAGAATGAGATGTTGTTCTGTATGTATTATATTGATATCAAACAATCGAATGAAAATACCATGAAGTATAAGTTATAGAATTTTTTTAACATAGTCCTCTATAGTCTATATTTGTCATCCACACCAAATGTGTTGTATGAGTGAAGCATCACGGCCGGGTGTTCAAACTTCAAACTCATTGAAGCTTGAAAAAAGCATGGTCACAACTTTGCATTTCCAAGAAATGTTATCTAGATAAGATATTCTGTGACATCATTTGGCTCGTGGAGTTGATGTATCTTTATTTCCTGGTTTTTTCAACAGGTTGGCTGGCCTAGAAGGCCACCATCTAAACTCGCCACTGCTTTAAAAAATAGCTACATTGTAGCAACGTTACATTCTAGAAGAGTATCAACAGACGGAGGTATTTAGCTACGTTTGTGAAATCATGCAGACAGTGTGTTTTTTTACATTTGCATGTCTCAACTATTGCAAGCATTTTTTAATAAATTTAATTGGTTAACCAAAAAGAGTTATGACACATATAACCCTTAACAAGAGTTAAAGCTAAAACAATGCCTGGATAAAAATCGGTGAAAAGCTAGTGTGTAAATCAAAAGGATGTCATAAGTTGAGAACTTGATAGGTGAGGATTATGTCATAACTCTTACAGTAAGACATGAAGAACTTATGTTTTCATGCACTTTAAGTCTTTGTTTAATATTTGAAAAGAAAGTGACAAATGGCATGATGTACTTGCTAGTTACTTGGCAGAGATGAATGGCCAAAAGAAGCTGATAGCTATGGCTCGCGCGACATCAGATCATGTCTTTAATGCTACCATTTGGGATGTTCTTGTAGATCCTTCCTATCAGGTTGCCTTTCTCATAAATCTTAAAAGTGTTTTATAGATTTGAAATTATTAAAAGTTGATATATCTTTCCTGATTCAGTGGTATTCATGGCTCTTTGACACAGGGCCAAGGTCTTGGAAAAGCCCTTATAGAAAAGCTCATAAGAACACTTTTGCGAAGGGATATTGGAAATATTTCATTGTTTGCTGATAGTCAAGGTAAGTATGTGGCTAATTGATCCGAGCATTTTTGTTTTTGTCAATGAGCAAGTAGCTCCATTGCTAATGGAGTTAAAAGAGTTATCAATCTTATCATTGACACTGTTTTATTTTCCGGCACATAATGGACTAAATCAAAATGGAACATTAAACTTCCCTTGCTTCTTACCTCCTCCGTCTCAATTTAAGTCAGGGTCAAACTTTAACCACATTCTTTACCCATTTTCACCACACATTTGATAAAATAATATAGTATTGTCACCTCTTGTTTTGTAGATCTTTTGGTGTAGTTTTTAAGTATGTAAGTTTTATTTTTAATTCCATACCAATTTTCAACTAAATTGAGTTGAAAATAATTTCAGTCAAACATCGTAAACAACATCCGATTTAAATTGGGTTGTAGATGTAGTAATGCATCTAGTGTGTAACGGAAACAGTCTCTCTGTTATTACAGGGTGATAGATTTTGATCCCCAAAGCCCCAACGGAGTTGGGAATATACTGTGCTGTTGTTGTGGATGAGTTGCACTAAGCTTCCTTTGAAAAAAGCATTAAACTGACCTATAAGATTTCCTTATGATTGCAGTTGTTGAATTTTATCAGAATCTAGGATTTGAGCCCGACCCCGAGGGCATCAAAGGTATGTTCTGGTACCCGAGGTCTTAGCCATGTATGGTTGTTGGAGCAAATCGTGTTGCAGCGACCTACCTAGGCGACAATGATGTGGCAAACATTTCATTGTCTGTGTGACATGGGGATTTCTGATACTATTATTCAAGGAGTATGGGTGAGAGGGAGTTTGATTTTTGACATTTTTTTCCCTTGTAAATTTTATGTTCATCAATAGATATAAACAGATTTGTGTGTTTACCAGATTAATACTTTTAGGAGTGTGTCAGAAACGCCTTCTTGACATCTACCCCTCCTCCGTCGTGCAATTAAATTCATACTTTTCTTTTTTCGTCTGCTCTAAAATTAATTCTACACTTCTCTCGTTTGTTTTTAAGGTCACGATATTTCTCTTTTCTAAATTAATTTTAATCGCAAGTTTTTTTTTGTTTGTGAAGTCAAGGAGTGAAGTGAATTGCGGTTTATATACCCCATACTTTGGTGTGACATTAACGCCTCATTAAAAACTGAATAGTACTATTCTACTCCCTTCCTCCCAAAAACTTTTTCCACATTTTCATTTTAATCAACTGTTTACATATTTTGATCATTAATAAACATAATTGTATATAAAAAAAATGTAAAAATTTATATATTAATACCACATCTTAATATAAATTTTTATAGTTAAAGTGTTGGCTTTTGTGGAAATGCAAATGTTGTGGTGTAACAAAGGGCATGCTAGGGTACACTAAAATGGGGTATCTCATTTGTACACCAGGCAAATACGGATATTTAGGGGGTGTATTCAATCTGGATTCTGATAGATTATTTTGGATTCTGAAAATACGTAGGTATTTAATTCAGAATTTAAAAAGTCATTTAAAATCTGAGTGTATTCAATTCAAACTTTAAAAAATCTTTCTAAATATGATGGTATTCAAAAGTTGATAGATTTTTAATGATTTTAAAAAATGTGGATTTAGATGATTTTCTATAAATACAATTCCAATTTCCAAATCCAATCAAAACCCCTGGCCTACTCCTATTCTCTTCTTCCGCGCAGGAACTGGTTCTTCGTGTTCTTCATCTTCTACAGCTTCATCTCCCTCAATCCTTAACTCCATCTTCAAGGTAAGGTCTTCTCTATTATTTAACTTCTTTTTCTCTTTGTTTATCAATAATTTGTTCAAATCAAGGTAAACTCTAACATGATTTTGGAGTTTTTTTACCGAATTTTTTTGTGAATTTTAACCCTAATTTCCGACCCAAAGTGAACGCTTCTACTTCTTCAAGGAAAGTATGATTCCTCTACGGAAAAAGATATGGTTATGGAGCCATCTCACTTTTTACTCTAAAATAGTTAAAAATTCCGAGAACCCAACCCCTCCTATTGAGCATCCAAAGTGGAGAGCTTTTTCTTGGATTTTGTTTTCCCAATCTGTTTTGGTATGCACTTGATTTATTTTATTTGTTAACTTCATACAAATAAATTAAATTAAAAATAGTTTTAAAAAAATAAAAAGTGAAAAGAGAAAAAAAATGAAAGAAAGATTCTTTTTCAAACAAGGAGTGCACACAGTAACATTTAACATCTTGCGGCATATTAATTGGGGAGTAATGTGTTTATGGTTTTGTTGGATTCTCCAAAAGTTTTTGCCTTCTCATTGTGCTTGTTTGCACTTCACAGAAAGCTCAAGTCATGTGTTAATTCTAAGTTCTTCTTTTAAGAAGTTATAGCCCCATGGATTCACTTTGTCATACTGATTTGAGATCATGAATGTGATGTTCAGAAGGTATGGGTTTAGGCAAAATAAGTCATATTGTTCCTGTGGTCTATTTATATTCCATAATTTTATCTCCACTGCACCAACCATTTCCCCATTTAGGCATAATTGGTCATTTTTTTCCTTCAAAAAACCTTAAAAAGGTTTGCAAGTTCTCTGTGAGAGCAAGTGGGCCAAAATGTTCTTTGTAGCTTTTTTACCTTAAAAAGGTCTACAAGACAATGATTCATTTGTTCAATTTTAGGGACAAGGATACTTTCCCTCTTCTTTTGGTCTTCTGATGAGGGGCTAAAATGTTCTTTGTAGCTTTTTTACCTTTTCTTTGAACTTTTGATTAACTTTTTTTAGTACAGGTTCAGAGACAATATGCATCATGGTTAATAAGTTGATTTGAAACTTAAGACTGCCTAAATCTATGGACTACGTTAGGATGACTATGAGTTTTTGTTCTACTTTGGAGGTCAAATATCCATAGGGTTCTCTTTTAGTCACATATCTCATGCTGACTTTTTAATGCAAGATTTTAAGTATTCTCCCATGTTATGCTTCTTGATGATGGAATAATGAAAGTTGAATTAACAAAGAAATTGATTTTGTTGGCATTATTAAATTATATATATGGGGTTTAGCTAAATCATATTTTTGTTCCTTATTAACATAAAGTTTTATCCATTGAGATGTTTGTAGGAAGAGTATGCTGCCACAGTTGAATTACTGACGTATAAGCCTACAGAGATGGGAAACTGAAATGGCCCAAATCCTACCGGAATAAGCTATATGGCCAATTGTAGAGAGAAACACTATAAATTATGGGTTGTCATATTTATGGTTTGTACTAGCCTTGCTTTGTCTTTGTGTAGGATTTAAGCCATTCTAGCTAGTCTTTGTATGTAGCTTTTCATGAGGGCTTTGGTTTGGTCCTCCCATTTGTACTCTTTTTTCTCTTTTCATTAGTTTATAAAACTTTGTTTATTATTCTTATTATTATTATTATTATTATTATTATTATTATTATTATTATTATATTTATTATTAGTAGTAGTAGTAGTATAGAAGAAAAAATAAAAAATGATAGTAAAAATACTTGTGTGGATAAAGTGTTCTCTTGGTTGAGAGTTTAGAATACTATTAGTTTATTAAGTTGTTTTAAAATATATTGGGTTTAAATTGTTGATAAGTACTTGTTGGTGTATATTGAGCTTTATAATAATAATAATAATAATAATAATAATAATAATAATAATAATAATAATAATAATAATAATAATAATAATAATAATAATGTTTTAAAAATAATTTATTTTTATTTTATAATGTTATTTTTAGAATTTTTGTCAATTTCATAAGTAATAATCAATGTTAGGACAATGTATAGATTTTTAAAATAACTCAAATGTATATATAAAAAAATCCATTGATAATAAACAATCTATCACAATCTTATAAAATCCTGCTAACAAAATACATTAAAATTTATCTAACTCTGCATAGATTTTAAATAATCCACTGACTTTACAGAATCCGTGGATTTAAGATAATCTGTCAGAATCTTTAAAAATCTGGATTGAATACACCCCCCTTAGTATATGTGATCTACAGGCACTAAGTATCTTTGTTTGTCTGTATTTGCTTGGTGTATAAATAGGATACCCCATTTTGATATATCCCTGGGTTTAGAGATTGAACACTTCGTATTTTGGACATGTTCATCAAAAGACAAAGAAAGTGAGATTACCAACAACATTCATGAGATTGAAGACCATTTCCGGTGTGGGTCCCAAGTTTCTTTGTGAATATATCGTTAAAAAATTACTCCTAATTGATACGGAGTAACATTTATTCCATTACTCGTGTTTGGAGCATAGTTTTCAGAACCGAACCGGTGATCAAACCGGTCAAGGCACTGGTTCACTGGTTTACTGGTCGATCCAGTGGTTCGAGTGGTTGAACCAGTGGTTCAAACATTTTTAATAAATAAATAAATATATATATATATATATATATATATATGGTGGAAATTCCACATGGATGATGGCATATGGGCAAGGCTGATGAGAGCCAAGTACTGGAGAGATGGTGAGATGACTACTACGTTACTGGACTCCCCGGTTTGGAAAAGAATTGTAAAAATAGATGACCTGGCCTCTAACGCTACCCAATATGATGGAGAAAGGTTACGCTGGTCCATAGAACCCAATGGAATATTCTCCTTAAAATCAGCTTACAACCATTGTAGGAGTTCTCTTTCCCCTACAGCTTCATTCCAATTTCTCTGGAAAACTCCACAACACCCTAAGGTATCCATCTTCACTTGGAAACTATTCAAAAAGTGCCTCCCTATCCCTGAAAACCTTCAGCGACTTGGATACCATCTTCCATCAATCTGCCCCCTTTGTAAAGATGCTCCATACACTGCTCAACACTCCTTCATTGATTGCACCAAACTTCGGGATGTTTGGAGTTNTTCATCCCTGGGTTTTATGCACACTCCTTCACCATCCATCAACCAACATTTCATGAGGTGGTGGCTTAGATCAAATAATAACATTTATGGATTTCTTCGCCTTCATCTACTTGGAATCATCACATGGCACATCTGGAAATCCATCAATGCAATGATTCATGATGACAAAATCAACTTCAATGCAGGAAAGCTCATAGAAGACATCTGTACTCATACGAAACTCTGGCTCCTAGCTAAATGCCCTAAAAATTTCAGAGTTGCTGATGAATGGTTGGAAAATAAAGGCTTACTCCCTCGATTTCTCAACCACCCAAAGCCCAGAATGGTAAAATGGTTAGCTCCACCCAAAGGCAGACTGAAAATCAACATAGATGCTTCCTTCAACATGACGTCATCTCGTGGTGCTGCTATTATTCGAAATGAAGAAGGCAGTTTCGTTAGAGCAGCTTCCTTCCTAGTGCTCAAACACCATATCAAGCAGAGCTGGCAGCTTCAATAAAAGGTCTCACTTGGGCATTGCAATTCCATGCACATCTCATCTATGAAACAGATGCCAAAGAGATAACTTTACGACTGAACAGATACGTTCATCATCGTTCCTCTCCTTTCCCTATTGACACTCTGGGGTCTCTCATTCATGATAACAACATCTGGGTATCTCACACCCTCCGAGAAGGCAACCACCCAGCGGATTTACTTGCTAAAGAAGACAGAGGCAAAGACATAGTTTTTATTGAATATTGTACCATTACTTCTTGTCCTTCTATTGTAAAGTCCGCTCTATATAACGAGCGATTTCCCTCTTTTCGTTTCTATTAATAAAATCTCCTTTCGCTTAAATATATATATATATATATATATATATATATATATATATATATATATATATATATATATATATATAAGTAAATAAAATAACATTTTCTCTTTTTATAAATAAAAGAATTGATTTATAATTTAACTTAATTTACTTGAGTTGTGTCTTTAAATAAAAAATAAAATTTACTTATTTAAAAAAACTTATAAATAAAAAGTAATTTGAATTTTTTTAAAACTTTTACCTATAATTTAAATAAATATATATAAAATATTTGTGTGATATGCACTTCATATAAATTACATCAATGGGTTTGAATTTTAGTAAAAAAAAACTATATATACTTAAAAAGTATTTGATAAAAAAAACCTAAATATAGAATATATTAAGCGAACCGTAGAAAGTAAACACAAAGCATGGTAGGCGAGATGGTCTCTAGATGCCTCGTCCACCCCATCAGTCCTGGGTTTGATTCCTGGGATAAGTGTTTTTTAGAAATCTTTATAAATGAGTTAAAAAACCGGTTCCGGTGTTAAAACCGGCCGGTTTTCTCCGGGTTTAACCGGTTTCTACCGGTTCTATGCAGCACACGGTCTAATTGCTTGGACCGGACCGGCTCGGCGTCCGTTTCACCGGTTCCCAGTCCGAACCGGCCGGTCTGGTCCGGTTTTTAAAACTATGATTTGGAGGCTTTATTTGGAGGTTTATTGGCCCTTTAATTATTGTTAAATTTGCACTAAATAGAACTAAAACATAAGTTATTTCATAATGTAGAACTTAAACTTTTTTATTTCCTAAACAATACTTAATAATGTCTAGTGGGAGAAATAATGTCTAGTGATGATTGACACTTACTTGAATAATGATTAATGAAGAATGATCAATGGTCTTACATTGGAAAATAAAAAAGTCATTATGTTTTAGTTCTATTTAGATAAATTCCATTTAATTATTTCATTTTATGTTTGAAAAGGAGAGTTAAATTCAAAATTCAAATACAACATTGGTTTCAAATTTCAATATACTCCGTATTTTGGAACCTGACTCCACAACTTTTACTCTTGGTTTGATTTTTTTAGAATCCGTTCCGTACACGGAAGTAAAGGAATTAAAATGAAATTGAATTCTCCAATTCCAATTCATTTTTAGCACTAACAATTTCAAATCTACATATTTTAGTGCTACCAAACAGTAGAAATGAAATTATTATCCCCAATTCCAATTCCATAGTTCGAATTCTGTATACGAAATGAAGCCTTATTTTTATTACGGAGTATGATTTAATGAAAGACTGATTTTGGGAGAAGAATTATATTTTTTTATTTAATCCAATATTTTTGTCAAGTGTTTAAAAATAAAATTAAAAAAACAAACCGGAGTCATAATCGTACATAGAACCGGATCGGAACCGAACCATACCGAACCTATAGCCTCACCATTTTTAGGAGCTAAAACTACAAGTGGTCAATGGCGGCGATGACCACCGAGGACTAGCGGCAGAAGCCAAAGACGGTGGTCGTGATTGGCTGATGGCGAAATCGAGTCTTCAATGGGCTGGGATCACCCTATTGTTTTGTATATTGTTTTGTATAATTTGCTGTTTCGAAAATCTTAGAAATTCAGCTAGGATACTTCCCCATGAAAATGTGAAGAAGCCTAGTGATTCAAGCAAAAACATCCCTTGTTCGCTTTACAAGGGGGGAAAATGACAAGTGACAAATTGAACTTTAATCACAAACTGATCGATAAAAATAGGGAGTTATAATGAATTCTTATATTGTTCACTCACATAGTCACATTCATTCCATAGCTAAAACTCCCATCTAGATAAACATGGAACTAAACTCAAGAACAATCATCCAATATAGGGTTACAACCACAATTCAAAAGAGCACAATAAAGAGGAATGGAATGTAGTGGTAGCACATTGTTCTTCCTCTATCAAAAGGCTGCAGCTATGTGTTGGTGTACCCTAAAGCCATACATTCCTTTTTTTTATTTTATGTGACTTGGTAAAGGGATGATCATGATGATGATGATGAAAAGGGAATCAAAACAAACAAACAAAGCAAGCTTACAGATCAAATCACTCCGATGAAGAGGAAGCCGAAGAATTGGTCTGCAAATCCTCGGAAGTGGCCACCAATTTCTCCCTCAAATCTTCGCCTTCTTCCTTCCCTTCATCCACGCTTTGCGAACCAGTCATCCTCGCCAACACAACAAACGACATTCCTCCAAGCACATTGTTCAAGCATCTCAGCACTATGACTGAGCTCTTGAACACCAATGGAGGGACACCTTTGGCCAGCACGAACTCGATCCCATTCAGTGTCTGGTACCTAAGGTTGCTGCTGACCCCCATGTGGATTGCCCAGGTTGCCGCGTTTAGGATGGTGGGAGGGGGCTTGTTCGGCGTTTCAAAGCTCGGGTCCATCTTCTTCCTCATCATGATCAGTCCGTTGGAAATGGCGGTCCCCACCAGGCCGGCTGCGAACCCGACCGTGGCGAACAGTGCGCCTTTGTAGACCAAGGTGCCGAGCCGGCTGGCGAGGCCGTAGGACCCAGGCTGGAACATGTGGCTCGGCGGGCAACTGGAGAAGATGGAAGGCAAGGACTGGGAGGCAGAGGATGATGCGGTTGGAGCCAGGAGATACATGAGGACGAAGTTCATGATGGAGCCTACGACCATGGTGGAGAAGACGAAATCGAGCTCGTTCAGGCCAAAGTTAGGGCGAGAGGCCATGTCTCCGATGACGCAGGCCGTGACGCCCACCAATTCCTCCATGAGAACCTTGAAAGGGAACTGCGGGTCAGCGGCAACCCTAGATCTCCACCCACTGAGAAAGGCTCCGATCGGTCCCAGATTGTCACCGGAAGAAGATCCCGAGTCATCGGAATCACCGCCAGCGCTCCAATCTCTGCCGCCGCCGCCACGGCCGCCGCTTCCAATCCCGGTGTTACCGGCGCCGCCTGTGCCGCCGGCACAGACGGAAGGCAATTTCAGGAGCGAATCCGAGTGAAGCTGCTTGGCCGAAATGGAAACACTGTGCCCACTTGAAAACAAGGATCCATGGCCACCGGAAAAAAGACGCCGGCATGGAGAGGTCAAATGACGACTCTGGGTCTGATTCAGGCCGGCAATAGCGGAGAATTGAAGCTGGGACATCGCCGCCATCTTCACAGCTCCGGAGATCCGGTAAAAGGGGCCGCGATATTTGCTTTGGAGGCGCGGGATCGAACCAGAAGAAGAACAAGTGCACAAATAGGTTTGATAATCAGCTACGGTGAGAATGTGACCTGAACAAAGACAAACATACTACGTAACATATTCGACCATTATAAAAATTACTGCCTCATTCTCACTGTCTGTCCACATTTAACTTTTGAACTTTTCATCTAAGCACTTTGACTCATCAAATTTTCTCAATGTGTAAGCCTAAAAATAGTCATGTGTGATCTTGTTTGATTCGTATTAACATATAGATTATTAATATATAATTTCTATAATTTTTTAATATACAAATTACAAGATAAAATGGATTAAAGAAATGCATTGGATGGTGTGCCAAAAGGTAAGTGGACAAAGACAGTGGGACGGAGGGAATAAAACGAGAAATTATTGTGGAGATTCACCTAAAATGATGCATTTTAGAATAGTAAAAAATTGACAAGTCAATGATTTTTTTTTTTTTGCTAGCACATGGTTATGATTTACTATGTTCTCATGTTTATGAAAAATTACTCCATAGTAGTTAATCCATGTTTTTCCTTTATTCTTAATGACTAAATTAGAGTAGTTCCTGATTCTATGGAAAATAAATTTGTCTTTATCATAATTGTTCTTTTCTCAAAACTGGCAAGTATTACATTCATTGCGTGAGATTCTTGCTCGAGCACTTTTTCTCCATTCAACAACTCCTCAAGCACAATTTCTCTCGAACAGTATACATCAATGTCTATCCCTTCATCTCACCTTTGAATTATGCTCCTACATGTAGATGGCATATGGCGGCAAAGTAGTGAGCTATACCGTGCTAAAATATATGAATATTATTATCTTCCAAAAGAAGAATGGCGCTCTCTTTTATAAGACTTTGTATATTACGATGATAGTGGCCTGCGTCTGGAAAAGATCTTCCCAGTTTGACTTTTACTCATTTTTAGTGAGTGTTGACTTTGACATTAAAATGTCAAAAATATCCTCATATCTTTCTTGTTAATTCTGGAGTTTATCAAATTGCGCAATTTGATAAACTCATGTAACTCGCTACGCAAGAGATCATATCACAGAATTCATCCTCCACTTTTAAATATGCTATCAATAAGAGAAGTGTGCTTTTAATTTTTGTAGTGTCCATACCTACACACAAAAAGGTACTCATTAAATGAACAACACCATTTACATTGTACTCTATGTATGATAACTAAGTTTAAGAATAGTAATATTACCAATAAAAAAGAAATAACATGACAAACTTCAAAGCATGTATTTAAAGCATTTTAGTTCTATAAAACAAGATAAAAGTTCATATCATACGACTCATAACAAAATTTAAAATAAACGTAATGCAATACAAAACATAACATAACTTTAATTGGGACTCATTCCCGAGTGCTTGTACATAAACTTAGGGGGGTGTATTAAACGTTGATTCTGCAATATTTTTTAGGATTTGAAAAGTCTATGAGTATTCAATTAAGATTTTAAAAAGTTCTTAAAAATCTAGATGTATTCAATTAAGATTTTAAAATATCCATCAAAATCTAAAGGTATTAAAAAGTCTACAGATTTTCAACAATTTTTGTTAAAAGCAGATTTTGATGGATTTCAAGGTTCATCATATAAATAGAAATCCATTTACAAATCTTTCATGTAATATAGGGATTTCACTTCTCGAATCTATTACCTTCGCCTCCTGTTTCGTACGCTAGAAGAATACCAGCGTCAATTGCTAACACGACGGCACATGAAGGAGAAAAGGTATGCGACAAATAGGATTGCAGGGCGGCGGAGGGATTTAGAGATCGGATTTGCGACCCTTATTGATACTCCCTAATCCCTATTTTACATTCTACTACGTATATATTTTTTTTACAATTTTTTTCTTTTGTTTTTGTTTGATTTTTCCTTTCAAGGTATTTTTTTTGCTTTTGTTTAATTTCTTTTTCATGGTAAATTTTACACTCTGTATATTTTTTCAATTTTTGTTTTGTTTTCAATTATTTGCTTTTGGTTCAATTTTGATTTGACCTTTTTTTGCTTTTTGTTCAATTTATTTCTAATAGTTCAATTTTGTTTTCACGGTAAATATTTTGCTTTTGATCGATTTTTGGCTTTTTTATTTTCATTTTTGTTCACGGTAATTTTTTTTGTTCCACATTCTTATTATTTGGATTTTAAACAATCTAACACAATCTTTTAAAATCTTGCCAATAAAATCTATCTAAGTCGACGTAGAGTTAAAACAATCCATGGATTTTACATAATCCATAAATTTTAAATAATCTTATACAATCTTTTAAAATCTAGATTTAATACACCCTCCTTAATGTACTCAACCCGACTAGTGTCATTGGGTAACAAAAAGAAAATTGTTATTCACTGTGGATCTTCAAACATAGAGCAAGCAAATAAAAACTCAAGAGACAATGTATGACAAATTGGAAAAACAACATAACGTTGTCATAGTTTCTCCAATATCAAACTTTGATATGTGAGCATTTGAAGTTGTTTTTATCATATCCTTCATCAAAGTAGTGACTTCATTGAGTGATTCATTTCGTTTTGCAATTGCATCCATTATCCCACCAAACATTTCTTGAATAGGTTCATTTTTCCCTTTTTCAGATTGCTTGTTTGTGCACTTTTATTGAACTGTGAAGATTCACCTTCAAAAGTATGTTTCCCTTTCTTCGCTCATCTTGCCCAACAGTTGGATTGTGAGGTAGAGGCTCACTCCATAACTCTTCTCATGAATCATTTGTAGCATTCACTCTACCACCATTGATCTCGTTCTCACCAAAATCATCACTATCATAAGTACCATGAGGTGGCGTAGGCATATAAATATCATCACCCTCACCACTAAGATTATTATGAACACTTGCACCAACTCTATTTTCAGTGTTTTCGTCCTCTTGAATGTGACTTCCTGGAGTGTACTTATTATTTCGTTGTGTTGAACATGAAAATATCTTCTTCAATTTCACTTCTAGGTCAGGTTCAATCCCTTCATCTTGAAATTATTCAAACTTGGGGTTTTTTATGAGTCAAAACAATAAAAAAAATTAATTGATGTAACTACTAAAAGATAATGCATTATTTTACAAAATTGATAATGTATTTATGGTAGCTTAAAAACACATCGAACCTGGATTCTTAAAGCCCACCATTCAGCAGAAGCATCTATAGTCCCTTTATATGATCTCATCCCCATCCTGTAGCTCTTCTCTAAAGTTCTTTCCAAATAACATACCTTCCTCTCAACCAATCAATCTTAGATTTCAACTTCGATTTATCCCAAGACAACTTAGCTTCTTTTTGAAAATCACATTCAATCTTCTTCCAAATTAATCTTTGAGATGTAACACCACCATTTTCCCATTACTCTTTTAAAACGTGTTTAATACAAAGATCACAAAGGATGTAAACTAATTCTTTTGACCAAATAATCCTTCCACCTTTGTTGTCATTGGTGTTTTCATTCTCACTTTGATATTCTTGGATTTTTGTTATGATAAGGAGCCATAATCTAAGACTAAATAAAATTTAATGTTAAAAAATTTAGATAAACTTTATTAGTATAGTGATTGATACATATAACTTCATTTCTAAGGTATCATATACAATTTCAAATCAGATGAAATGAACAACATTCATAAAAATTGTACATATGCTTTAAAGAGGAAAAATCAAGTAGAATATGATAATGTAACAAACAGAATGAGCAAATGCAGAAAGCCATTGACATTAGTCAAATGGTGACTAATAAAACCAACACCACTAGCTTTATTAGTGGAGAGGAAGCGAGGAAGAGAGCTAGATTAATTAGGATTAAGGAAAGTGCTCAACTTTCAGTCATATAATTTTTTTATAAGAACTGTAGCCGAAATCCTTTATCCACCAAACAGTTCTTAATTACAAGAGAATTGCATTCTTAAAAAACAATTGCAAGGCCTAACAATTTAAAAAATTGTCAAGTAGGAGAAAACTGTGTGATTCTTAAAAACATGGAGCCTTTAGAATTAACAATTGCAATCAAACTGTGATTGTTAGGACGAACAATTGCAGGCAAAAAGTAGATGGTTCTACAACAATTAGGATGAAACAAAGCATAGAGAAGCAGAATCGCAGCAGTGAAAAAAATAGAACCGCAGAAGAGAGGAGCAGAATCGCAGTAGATGGCCTTGAGGATGTAAAAATTACAACTATTTAGATGTAAAAAAATTATGAAAATATAACCTACCTGGTGCCGTGAGGAAAATCGCAGAGAGAAATCGCAGTAGACTTCTGGTGCCGTGAGGGAAATCGCAGCAGACTTTGGCTATCACATCAGGTGAACTGCTAAACGAAACGCTAAACGAAAAAAAAGGGTAAGAAACGGAAAAGAGTGTGAACTGCTAAACGAAACGCTTCTAAGATTAGTGTTTCAATTTTTGGCTGTTCGGTTTCAAAGGCCATTATCTAAACAATTAATTTGACGAATTGACTAGTCTAATTAGTCATTTATAATCAAAGAAGCCAAATATTGAGTGAACCACCATTTACTAAAGAAGGCCGTTGTCTTGGTAGAGTTGAGTTAACAAAATAATTGTCACTAAGATATCGAAAACTATAATCTATGTGGGTGAGTGATAGTATCAAAATTGTGGGTGACAATTATTTTTTGATCTTGGCATACCTAAAGTTTCATTGTTTTTTATTGATAAAATAGAAGAGTGTAAGAGGGAAGAGGAAATTGGAGTTGGTTCCATTGAAAATGGTTGCAGATGTCACCGTTTTATAGGCTTTTGTGGTCACCAGCTACTCTTTTCTCTTCCCGAATCCCTCCCCCTATCTCTCTCTCCTTCTCTCTCGCTCTTTCTCCTCTCAGGGCTATGTGAGAAACCAAGAAAGGGAAAAGAATTCAATACAACACAGAACCTACCCATATTTGACTCTCCATTTCCCTTTCTCGGTTTCGCTGCTCAACGATCGCGTCCTCTGGTTTCTTAGCCATCGCTCGACTCTTCCATTGCTATCTTCTTCATCCGCCCGGCCTTTATGTATGTATGTCTCTTCGATTGAATCATGGGTATGAAACCATGGTCGTAATTTCTTCATTTTGACTCGTGATTTACGCGGTGCAGGATCGTTTGGAACACTGGGTTTTCTTCCTTTTTGACGTTTCTGCCTCCCCCTTACGAATTCTGTCTAGGTTTTGTGTTCTCTAGAGTCTTCCTCAACATCATCGCAATTCGCAAAGGGTCTTCGACGGATTTTCGATCTAGCAGGTTTTCCTAAATTTTAATTTCTATGCTTGCTTGTGCTTGTGTGCTTTTTCTCTTGGTTTTTGGGGCATATACCTCTTTTTGGATTTCTGTTAAGGAATGAATTTGCTAGGCGAATGAGTGGAAATGAATTCTTGTTCAGGGTTAGGTTTAGAGCTAGGTCATCCTCAAGGATGGACGCGTCCGGCGGAAACTCGGACGCTCAGAGAGGTGCTTCTTCAACAACTAGCAGTAATGCGCATTCTAGAAGACATGGAATGCAGTTTTCAGCGTCCAATCTCTTCAGGTTTCCTGTGTCTAGCTTGTTGGAATACACTGGTATCTTAAGGACAAGGTCCAGCAATTTGGAGTCAGAGAGTTTAGTCAACCAAGGAACATCCGTTGGATATCGAGACCATTTTCAGCAAAGAACTGATGATTCTGGAGCACCCAGTGCCCATCCCGGTGGTGCAGAGGAGGTCACGATTCGGATCATAGGTTCGGGTGACCATGAACAGGAACAGGTTGGGATGGGGTTGCCTTCATCGGTTTCTGGGCCATTGAGGGAGCTGAATGGGCCAAACGAGTCAATTTCAAGGTCGGGCTCTGCAACTTCCGTGGCTTCTGCTTTTGAGAGCCAGATTGACTTGAGAAGTGATAGAGGAGATCGAGGGTTCAATCAGGCTGCAAATGGCAGTGCAGATATGGGAACTGGAGATGGAGGTGGGACCTCCAATAGGGATTCTTCTTACCAAAGATATGATATACAGCAAGCTGCTCGCTGGATTGAACAAGTTCTTCCTTTCTCTTTGCTACTTTTGGTCATTTTTATTCGACAGCACTTGCAAGGTATTTTCGGCTTGCCTTCTCATATTAACTTCATTATGTACTGGAAATTTTCTTCATGCCGATGGGCAAAGATCTGAGTCAGTGTGTTTTTCAACCTTGCTTCCCATGGATTGCCTTGCTTGTTTGCTTAGTGGGCTTCTTATACCACTGCTTTGATATGGGAAGCTTCTGTAATGTGTTTGTTATGGTGAAATATGCTGTATCTTTTACATTGTGGAATGTTTAGTTCTGGAAGGATGTTTTTTTGTGAATAATGTTTTCATAAGTGGGATTTTAGCATCTATTTTTTGTCCTCCAGTAAGATTGCTTTTTTAGAAAGCAGTTCTACTTTTCTATGCAATGAAATTCTAAATTCAGTTTTGACTTTTAAAAAAACTTATATTGATTTTTTTGAAGGTTTTCTAATTTTTTGGGTTCCCATGCATATATAATATGCAGGTTTTTTTGTAGCAATTTTCCTTACTGCTGTTATGCTCAAGTCTAATGATATTGTTCGGAAGCAAACAGCTCTAAAGGTAATGCATAATGCCATCTCCCAAGCAATAGTATTAACCATTCAAGAATACATTGGAAGTAGAAAAATAGTGGAAACCTAGAGGAAATGACAAGTCTATTCATTTATGCAGGGCGAGAGGAAAATTTTTGTTCTAGTTGGCCTCTGTATTCTGTTTTCAGTTCATGTAGTTGGGTTTTATTGGTGGTATCAGAAAGATGAACTTATTTACCCATTGGTGTTGCTTCCACCAAAGGCCATACCTCCCTTTTGGCATGCTATATTTATGATCTTGGTGAATGGTGCGTTCGTGTTAAGTCATTATGATGTTTCATATATGTACCTAATGCTGCTCAAACCAAAGATAGGTTTGTTTGATGCATGTCCAACGTTTTAATCTTGGCAACATACAACTGTTATATATGTTGGTTGGACTGAATTCATCATATACAAACTTATTATTGACTTTTTTAGGCAATGTTTTTAAAAATTTCATGAATAATTAGCTTCTCGTGATTTTGGTACTAAAGAAGTGTTTAATAACAACCGGTGGCTTTTAAGTGGCATTCTGGTTTCATTAGCTTTTACTGTTTTAATGTAAAGATACCTTAGTCCGTCAAGCAGCAATGATCCCAAAGTGTTTCCTATTGATGTACTACAAGAACAGCAAGGGAAGAAACTACCGAAAGCAGGTGAAGGATTGCACAGAAACCACGGCATGTCCATTAAATTTCATAATTTGCCATTTTCTCCAATACCCATAAATCAATGATGAATTGTTTTGGCTTATAGGGACAAATGCTAACTGTGGTAGAGTATCTTGTGCTGCTTTATCGCGTGCTTCTTCCAGCTCCGGTTTGGTACCGTTTCTTTCTGAACAAGGAATATGGGAGCCTCTTTTCGTCATTAATGACTGGGCTGTATTTAACTTTCAAGCTCACTTCTGTTGTCGAAAAGGTATGCCTTTCTACACTATCACTAATCTCTTTCTGTATTGAGATTTTGGCGTCTATATAATTGTGGCATTCTCTTTAGGTACAATCATTTTTCAGTGCTTTGAAGGCTCTTTCGCGCAGAGATATCCATTACGGAGCTCATGCAACATCTGAACAGGTAATAAAAGGCTTTTTTTTCCTTTTTCATTGATTAGTGGATACAGATGAAGAGACATTGGGAAGTGATTTGATCTTATGAGAACTGTATATTTTGCAGGTGATTGCTGCAGGGGATTTGTGTGCCATTTGCCAGGAAAAGATACATGCCCCAATCTTACTACGCTGTAAACATATATTCTGTGAAGACTGCGTCTCTGAATGGTCAGTTCATTCTTATATTCTCTCTGTCCGGGAAAGAACTTCCTAACTAAACTTTTCATGGTTTTTAAAGAGAGTTGAAAAAAGGTGAAAGCTTACCAAATTACCCTTCATGAAAGTGGGTAAAATGTTAAAAAAGGGCATTTAGGAAGACCTTTCCTAGACAAAAAAGGGCATTTAGGAAGATCTTTCCCGGACAAAAAATGTGATCCCTACAGAGTTGGACTAATGTATCAAAACGTGCAAGTAAACAAAAGAGTGAGCTGATTATTGTTTCATATTGTCTGCAGGTTTGAGAGGGAAAGGACATGTCCCTTGTGCCGGGCTTTAGTAAAACCGGCTGATCTCAAGTCATTTGGGGATGGATCAACCAGTCTCGTTTTCCAGTTGTTCTAAATCCATTAACCATTAGTCAAAAGCGGCTCTGCGGTGACAACACATACATGACCACAAAGAAGACATCCACAATCGTATCAGTTTTTTTTGTCATTTGTTATCGCCAGAATGGGGGAAATAGGGCGCTGGGAAATGCAAACTATAGAAATTGTTCATAGTTGTGTAACAAAAAAAGAAGTCAAATGTTACAGAATTAATCCACTGAGAGAGGAAAATGACAATGTGTTAAACAGCTCATTTTCTTCTATTGATATGTGAAAGGAAGGAAGCCTTGCAATTTCAGTTCTCTTTTTTTTTGGTCTGATTTCACTGATGGAATCCCAGATATAGCTGGGAGAAATGTGTTTATTTTTGTTTTATAAATAGATGATGGAGCCCTGAGTTTCTATGTGTAATGTGACATCCAGATTCTAGAACAATAAGTACCATTTTAAAAAAAGAAAAACAATTATATTGCACAAAACAAGTCATGAACTGAACTGGTTTCATTGGGTAAGAGTATTATTAAGTAGCAAGCACAGAGGGAATCCTGCTCTTATTTGAGTACCAAAAATCCCGAAAAACTAACATGAGAAACTTACATATACAGGAAAAATAATTAATCTTCAACCCCCACATTTTTGGGTTTTTTTTTAAATAAAAGAAAACCTTCATATGGGAAAATACAGTAAAGATGTGTGGTATATGAAGTATTAAAGTGAGTGTTTATGGAAGGGAATTAATTAAAAAGGGGAAAGGGATGAAGTTAGTGTCTCCTGGAACCTTCTGTTTTGAGAGATGGTGGTGCTTCGAGCTGGGGAACAACGTCTGTCGTTCTTTGCGGCGAGAGGGGAAGAGGAAACTTGGTGACAGAAGAGCTTCTCCTCATCATCACGGGAGACTTGGCGAGAGAGGAGGTTGTGTCAGGGAGTGAGCGAGGGGACGAAGGGGATGGCGGGGTGGACGAGAATGCCCTTGAGACTCCCCCACCAGGAGGATTGTGAGGGTAAACATCTGCAACTTCTTCAATGTCGCCCTCGTCATCCCAATACACCACGTCCTGCATTGTCAGTTGGTGGTATTCCACAATTTCTCTCAAGAACCGATTCTCCCGTGCATAAACAGCATTCTCGTTTGCTAATCTGGCCTTCTCAGCTAGTAAGGTTTCGAGTTGATGTCTTATCTGCAAATGGAAATGTTATTAGTAGTATTTGATGATGATGATGATAATGTCTTACAAATCAATGTGGACTTTTAGCATAACACAAAGTATATGGTGATCACAAACGCAGATGCGGGAGATTACCATGTCATCATCAGCGGGGTTGCCTCCCTTTTCACGAGCATCTCGAAGCATCCTATTTTCGTCTTCTAGCTGAGAGCATCGCTGTTTTGCGAATGTTAAGTCTGCTTTAACAGTTTTTAGTTCTCGCAAGAGAAGTTTAGCTTTGGCAGCTGTTGCCATTGCCACCTGCAATCACATCCACAGAACATACATGCACTTCACAAACAAGGAGAGACACTATATAACAGTAAAGCCAAGAACAGATGCATAAATCTGCCAGGGACACTAACTTACTGTCCCTGGTTCTGGTGACCACCATTGGAGTCACCTCTACACATCATTATCATTGTTTACATTATTTAGTTGGTTTGTATTTGACAAAACTTGAGCTCCTTTCATAAGTTAATCATGGTATGGTACGGTTCATAAATTTTCGAGTGCATTAGATCTCCATTTGGTAGCATTTTCTTGTTCTGCATATTAAGCAGAATAAGTGGCTTTTGATTTCTTTGGCTGAAATGGATTTACAGGACACTATGTTTTTGAGAAATTTCAGACATTTCAGTCAAATAAAACTTATCAAACGGGCCCAAAGAGTTTCAAAACTCCCTCAAATAAACAATCACAATGGAAATGGTTGCAACCCAAAATTACCCATCACACAAGTTGGGCACCTTACGTCGCGAGATGCCTTGAGTTGATCTTCTGGACTAGTATGCATCTGCAGCTGAGGTGGTTGTGGTGAGAGTTGGTTCCACGGGCTAGATACACCAGACTCCTGATTTTCTTCATCAACATTATTGGACCCCTTTTTCCTGATCTGCAGTTTTCGTGTTTCTTGAACGATGCCTGCAGACTTGTTCTCAATTGTAGTTCGCCCTTCCTGAAAGTGTACTGAATTTGTAATCACTAAGATCTTTAACTAATATCTTACAGAGACATTCTGTAAAATGAAATGAATAAGAAGAGTACGAGAAACAATACTAAAGGGTGTCAAACCACGCACTTTGATACATTAAAAAGTAGAAAGTACTCTGTAATGTATAAGAGGTTGAGCTATTTACTCCTACCAAGAGAAAGGCTCCCCACCTCGCGAGGATGTGGATATGCGACCTTTCGGAAGGTACTAAAAAATGCACAAATTAATATATGACGTTGTTTCCCAATTCAACCCCGTTGCACCAAAGCTTGCCCGGCCCCAACAACTTTACACGGAGAAAAAATGAAACTTTACACAGAGAAAAAATGAATGTTCTTGATCATTGAAGAGATAGAGGTACCTGAAATGCAGTTCCAATGGCACCACCACTTTGGTTGAGCGAAGATGTAAGTGCATCCCAGCCCTTATGGAGTGAAGGACTGTCTGTTTTTCTAGAACCATAAGTGTGTTGAACTGACTGATGGTACTGGGAAGTCTGATACGTAAGAAAGTGGACACAAAAGTCAGAAGCAGAATGGCCAATCCATAAGTATGGCCTTGTTGTGCAATTAGCTTTAGCTATTTGAAATTAGTTGATTATATGAGTTGCTTGACCAACGTTTTACTCTAGGGATTAATACATAGATGTTTGGTAATCGTAATTAGCATTTACTTGTTTGATTTATAAAATGTTTTCTTTAGTTAAAGAAAAGAATATATCAAAGAACTTCAGATCCAAGTTTCCTCAAAATTAGTTTCTTTTTATCTTACCTCAGCTATTTCAAAAACATGTTCACCAAACATTAGAAATAGCTTAAAGCTGCCACTTCAGGTTTAAAAAGCTAAGAGCTCTCCACCACACTCACAAGGCTAGAATGTAGCCACACCAAGCATGATGTTCATGCATATTGAGAAAATAAAAACTAAGTGTGGGGAAACTGAAAATCACCTGGCTGGCTCTTGGGGAATTGATGCTCCGGGCTTCAAACTGTTGGGACATGGTATCATCCTCGAGAATTGCTTTAGCTTTCCTAGCCAGAACACCCCAAAAACCGCCCCCTTCATTTGTACTCGTCATGGACGTATAATCATATGTAGGACCGCCCCGATTCTGTAGCACCTAATAAATGTGGGAAATCGCCATAGTTTCAATTAAAGTATATGATAGATGAACTCATCAACTTATATCTTAAGTTGTGAGGTTGGTGTTCATACTCAAATGGTTACCCCATACAATATTCTTCTCAATGACTTTTTGTCATTGATATCTATTTCCAGCTTTACACCCTTAAACTGCCTAGGACCCGTTTGATAAGGGTTGTCGGGCTAAAATGGTTAAAGCTTCTGAAATTTTTTAGTGTAAAACACTTGGGTAAAATCCATTCCAGTAAAGCAGTTAATTTAAATGCTAGTTTGAGTATTTTGCAAAAAAGCAGAACAAGACGACTGATTTTACAAAACGCATCTTAATTTAAGGAAAATCCATGCCATAAAAAGGGTAAAAGGGCTTCAATTAGGGAAATTACAATCCATCAAGCATTGAGGATCATAGCATTAGTTGCAGAAATGAGAGGACACATTCCACCCGATGAACATTATCTCGTTATTCTTAGGTTTTAAAGTAATTACCACGCTCAAACAAAAACGTTCTCAATAATTAATCAGACCCAATTTCCAGCTTTCCAGCCTTAAAAAACTCTAACTTATTTGGGGAAAATTGATGCCAGTTAGGGAAATGACAATCCATCAGGCATTGATGATGATAGCATTAATTAATCACAGAAACGGAATGAAACAACGGAGAATCGGAAGGGAACCTTAGATCGATCTCGGAAGGAAGGCTGAGCGTTGGCGGAGGATTCACGGTGAGCAGCGGAGGCTCTAATAGCCTGGGCGGCCAAAGACTGAGACGCCGAGGAGGAGAAAGAGTCGCCGTCATCATCCTCCAGGGACGGACGGAGAAGATCCTCATTGAATGTGGACGACCTCGAGATCCCGCCGTGTCTGCGCCTGCACGCCATATCCTTTCCGTCTGGATCCCAATCGATTGGATCCTCAGGCAATCACCGCCGCACACTTCGAGAGCAGGGGAAAAAGGGGAGTTGCAGAGGTAGCTGAACCTCCCGGAATCCACCGTCTACGGCCGTAAACCGCCACCACCGGTTTGATCGTGTTTCCAATGTGTGTGGTAGGGAGGGAGAGAGGGAGAAGGAGAGAATGCATGAGCACGATTAACGAACGAACTTTCCTCCATTTCAGTGCAGTTTCTTTCTCGCAGAGTTCCGTTATATGTGGCGCCCTAAGTTGTTTTTCTTTTTTACTTGCCTTATTCCATTCTTCCCAAAATAATAATTCTTCCCTCTCAAATTAAATAAAAATTTTCACGTTACGAAAAAATTTATATTTTCTTTAAATGATTTTTATTAAAAATTTGTATGAATAGAAAAAATAAAAATTACATATTAAAAAAACTGCCTTAAAAGTTTTATAGACAAAAGTGATACCACTATTTTATTTTATTAAATAATCAATTCAAAAAAACCAAATCTATCGAGTAGTATGCGAAAAACATGATAATCAATTTCAGGACAGAGAGAACATTCACTTTTTTTAAGGAAAAATAGAAAACTTTGAGCATTAAATTTGGAATGAATATAAATTTAATAATATTGAAAAGTTAGTATTATTTCATTCATATTTAATAAAAGTTTGAAAATTTAAATTTTTTTTAATTAATGTATAAATACATATACTAATGATTAAAGTATCACACCTAATACCAAATAAGAACATATTTAGAGACGGACGAAGTACTCTGACATTCTATTAATATAAAATGTTAATTCTTTGGGAAAATTATTTCAAACAATCCTACCTTTTCGTTTTCTTTCAAAAATAATCTCAGTTTTCACTATCACCAGAAATAATCTCACTTCCCCGCATGTGTGCGAGTTCTAAGTTGCCGTTAAAAAGCTAACGGCCACTTAACAGAAATTTTGGAAAATGCATGCTTTTTGCAAATCAATGAAAGGTGAGATTATTTTGAATAAAATTCTCTTTTTTTGTTTTTATAATTTCTAATATGAAATATAAATGTATTTTCTAAAAATGTTTTTAGAAATAATAGTACACCAAATTTAAATGTTTTTTAGAGTGAGACTAATTATTTTTTAATAATCGATAATCTTGTAATAATTGAACAATTAATTATTCTACGCAATGGAGCTAATTTATTTACTTCATAGCTCACTAAATTTTTTTGTAAGTTGTAATTATTTTTCTTGAGCGACACTTCGAATTCTTTTTAAAAAAATGGTTCTACAAAACATGTGAATATTTTTTTGATAAGTCTATATAAATGTTTTTTGCAAATTAAAATAACATTACAACAGTTGTGAAAATAAGACAACAATTTTTTCTCAAAAATGGAACTTTTATTTTTATAACTCCCTACATTTTTTGTTGCATTACAATTTTTTTCATGAAGAACAGTATTCCGAAATGTTTATTGATAAACTTCTATTACCCACATGATTTTTTCTAATAAAACTACCCAACTTGTAAATACAAATTTTTCCCCCAAAATAATATTACAAAATATTTGAAAATGGCATAATATTTTTTCTCCAAAACGGCACTAATTAATTTTATAACTCGCCACACATTTTCGCTTTGCAATTTCTTTCTCGAGCGATACTCTGAAGTATTTGTTGATAATCTAAAATTATATTCCCCCGAGATGATAAAACAAAATTTGTAAATCATTATATTATTTTTAAAAAAAAATTGAGACAAATCTCTAACAAGAGTGTACTGTTGTATTTTTAAAAACATAAATTTCAAATTAAAATTACAATTAAAAAAATGAAAAAGTAAATTTGCCTAAAATAATCTCACCTTTCATTAATTTGAAAAAAAAGAAATTTTTCAAAAATTTCGTTAAGTGGCCGTTAACTTTTTAACGGCGGTCCAAAATTCGCACACATGCGAAAAAGTAGGATTATTTTCGGTGACAATGAAATATAGGATATTTTTTTAAAGAAAATGAAGAGGTGAGATTATTTAAGATAATTTTTGTGAATTCTTTTTAAGGAACAATTATATGGTTGGTCTAGATATAACTTATCTCGTAATTATATATCATTCATCCCAATCCTTTGTCTGGAATCACGAGGAATTCTTTTCAGAATCATAGACATTGTGACTACATGATAATAACTCCAGCTGGTGTTTGGAAAGCTTTAGGCTACTTGTGGATTAAGACTAAAGAAGTTGTATTCAAGGCAACTTCTACTAACATATAAAAACGCAGCAGATCCCTGAGATTTCCTTGTAGCGATTGAGAGGGAAAAACACAGAATATACGTTGATGTAAAGCGTTCCCGTCGTGTCCTGGAGCTTCCCTTGCGTGAAGAAAGTTATGGTCCACATGAAGGAGTCGTATAACGAAAAATAGATTGTGACAACCAGGAGATGAACCAGAGCTTAAGGAGAGGGCTGCCAATTCAACACGTTTGTCCTTGTGATCTCGGTGTAGATGTGATTGCCGAATCGTATCTGTACAAGGTACGAGTTAGAAATCATAGATTAGAAGTTTTGTCATAATAATTCGGAGAAGTGTGTCTCATCATGTTGTTATAGAGGTCGGGCTATCTATTACACGAATGTGGGGCCCACAGATGTAGGAAAGTCCTCCGTACTGCGTAAAAAATTCTTGTGCACTATTTACTGCTTTTACTTTATATTCTGCATGTGTGCTTGTGACGGAGAAGGTATTATTATAGCACACTCTCTCTCATCTGTTACTGTGACAGTGCTGCAGTATCTTTTCCACAGCATAGTTGATTGATTTGTTTGCATAGCTTTCAATTCGTGATTTCTACGATCGGTCCTTCGTCACTCATGTTATTGTCTACCTCTTAAATGCGACATTGAAAAAGTAATTTTCCACCTCCACCTCCAAATTAAACACCTCACCAGCCCTCCTCATATATGCCTTTGTTTGCATGGTTAGGGTGCAATATTCAGATTGTCATGTGCGACGAAACAGTAATTTTCAGGCTCTGCGATTTTGCAATGAAGACAAAGGCTTGAATTAGGGTTATGAGGGATAGTTAAGGACATGGAAGGGTAATTTAATTGATGGACGGGTGTGAGAAATTACTGCTTCAACCCCACATTCAACAAGTAGATAACAGTAAGAGTGACACAAGACTGATCGTGGAAAAGAACCAAAGAAGTAGGAACTACACTTGTAATATTTGATAAATAGAGATTAAATATAAAAAATTACTTATAACTAACTAGGGACCTTTTATGAAATTTACTAAAAAAAAATACTCATGACACATTGAGGCATAGCTTGAGGATTATATTGCATATGTGGTCCTTCAAGTTATTAGGTAATGTACAGTTAGTCTTGCAATTTAAAAAATTTCATGAATATTGTTTCATGTCACGTTAGTATTGCATTATTGGTGTCTTCTTTCATTTTTCGTTAGTCCATGTATTTTTTTCATTTGCTATTTCAAAAACATGTAAAAACCTTTTCTTTCATACAATGGACTTATATTTCATATATAATCATTTTAATTAAAATTGTTGATGAAAACTTCAGGCGGTAAAAAGTCAGAATTTTATAATTACTTTAAGATGGCTGATTATTATTATTATTTAAAATTTGACTAATAAAAGTATAAGTAACTTATTATTATTAAAACACCAAGGTTCCCATGACATTGGGTTCCAATTAGGGGTGTAAACGAACCGAATCGAAGCGAATACCGATATATTTGAATTTGAATTTGTTTAAGTTTTTCGAATACGAATCCGAATCCGAATATGAGACGAATTCAAAATAAGATTTGAATAAGTATTTGATTAATATTCGAATAGTTATCGAATCATAAACGAATATTTGAATAATCATACTATGTAATTTATATGATGGACCAACATCAATTTGTAATTTAACTTACGATACTCTTTATACTATACTATATTCCGTATATAAAAACATTAATACATTTGCATCTTACACAAATTATATTTTATAAAATATAACTATTAAAAATCATATGCTTTAGATTTTCGTGTGACGTTAATTTATTGAATTCTTAGTATTTTAAATACACTTTATACTATATTACTTTGCTTGACTTTTGATGTTGAAAACATGGTCTGTGTATATATACATATATTCGAATATTCGAATATCATCCGAATCGAATATATCCCTATTTGTATTTGTATTTGATTAATATTCGAATCAAAAATAATATTTGAATTTGAATTTTTATTTGAATAACGCGAATTCGAATCATCATATTCGAATACAAATCGCGAATCGAATTTAAAATATTTGATTTGTTTACATCCCTAGTTCCAATGTCATGGGATGACCCGGGGGTGTTCTGGTGCCCGGTTCATAAAATTGACGGTTCCTACCCTCCTAACCCCTCCGGTAAACCCCCACCCCGACCCGAACACACCCCCTACCCCCGTCAATTGCACCCGTCAATTGCACCCCGTCAATTGCACTCCAAAGTCAAAATCAGCTTGTGGGGTGCAATTGACGGGGGTAGGGGGTGTGTTCGGGTCGGGGCGGGGTGAGGGGTTTATCGGGGGGTTAGGGTAGGAACTGTCAATTTTACGAACGGGGCACCGAAGCAACCCCGGGTCATCCCATGACATTGGAAGTTTGAAACTCAATGTCATGAGAACCCCGCCCTTATTTCAAAATAAAAACAATTGGAGTAAGAAAAGTAAGACCTATTATTAAGGTTTACGCCGCCGCCCTGCGTCGCCGGTGTTCGCCAGTTGGTGGCCGATGTGCACTAGTATAGATTACGGAGCATATTGTCGAAATTGGCAGAGAGACTATTAGCGTTAGGGTTTAAATAGTTTATTGTGATATGGGATTCTATTTAGATTTATAGGCTTGTTCGACCATTTCCTTAGAAATCAAAACTTCTCATGATCTGTCGGTTTATATTTCCATGAAGTCCATGATTTTTTTTTGAACAGGGTGGTTTAAAAGTAAATTAATTGGGGCACTTTCAAACAATCTCTTTAATTAAGGAATAGGATTTGATATGGTATGAGATTAAAAGAAGCAAATGAAGAATTCAATGTTCATGTTGCTTTTTATTTCTGGTTCTAGAGTTCCATCACAGATGCAATTAAAACAAAAAGAATCCCCAAAAGAATGAGTTTCAATGATAATGGCTGGAATTAGCCTACAGATGAAGGGATAAATTTGAATCTGAGGGAGGAGCCGACGAATGCCAAGACGGTTGATAATTATTGTTACTGCTGTAAAAGAAAGGCCTTGCTGCTGTAACTTGCTGCTGTTCATCTGGGTTTGTCAGTAAGCTTGTGAGGCTACCATATCTGCTGCTTTGATCAAATATCGACCGCTGCCCGATCCCCCCCACGGTAAAGCTGTTTGTTTGATCATATAATAATGACCGCTGCCCGATACCCCCCACAGCAAAGCTGCTGGTTTGGTCATATAATAATGACTGCTGCCCGATACCTCCCGCTGCAACTCTGGTGCCCCATGCCTGTGTAGCCGGATTCATCTGGCTTAGCTGTGATCTCAAGAATGGCATATCAAATGCAAACCTTGGAGCCAATGGTCTTGGAGGCAAATGCAGAGGCTGTGAGCTTGCCATTGCTTTCTCCAAGCTGTTGGGCATGCCTGAAGATGTGGGTATGGACTTATTGCGCGGTGGTTTTGCTTTGTTTCTCTTGTTTCTCGTCTTCAGTTCGGTTGGTGGATTAGGATGGACTGACTGTTCGAGGGCTAACACAATTGGTCGGGTACTCCATTCTTCTGGCTTTCTTGTGTCAACTATCACTGAACACCCTCCAGCCTGCTGCTCATCATCAGAACCTTTGTTGCTGCTTGTCTTCTTGAATGGCGAAGAGTTCAAATCTGCACTAGGTTTAACAATGGGAGAGTGGGACTCCACCTGCTTTTTACTATTTTCTGCTTCAGATGCTTTTCGGTTGTTCCTTTTGTACTGCAAAATTGTTCCCACTGGCTGCTTTGGATCTTTCAGCACGTTGGCTGCCATTTCTGCTCCTTCTGAACTAAGGCCTGTTTGGGGATTAGATGCAGTGGCAGCTGTGCTGGGTTCTGAAGAAAAGGATGGCATTTTGAATGTGGCATATGCTGTGGGAACTTGATAAGAAGGAGACTGAATATTGGAGATATTCGCATTCGGATTGAGGGCTTGTAGTTTCCTGCCTGCAACTCTCATTGCGGTCGGCCCTAAATCTTGGACGAATTTCATCAGGCTCTCTCTGTAGTTCATGTTCAGCTCGCTTGACTGGAATAAAATAGAAACACAAAAAATGCTGATTGAAATATGATAGAATCCCAAGTCTGGTGAACACATAAGGTTTTGAACATACTATTACTAAAAGGGAACATGGCAGAGTGAAATGTGATGATGATGATGATGATGATCACGAAATATAAATCAATGTATAAAGCTTTGGGTAAGTCTCCTAGAAAAGGAAAACTCACAAGAATTGCAGTTTTTTTGCAGTCATTTCCAAGGGAGGAATTCCAAGTTTTGTAGGTAGAGCGGCGACTATCTTCATCCCCAGCACCTGCCCAAGAATGATATTCATAAGAGAATCGATAACCACTTCATTTTTTTATTTGTCAGTGGAGAAGATCACTCACCATGAAAGTTGGCGCGATCGTTGTTATTAGCCTGAGGGAACAGTGGACTTCTTTTATGGCACCCCGCGAGGGCTGATGGAGCGCCAAAGCAGAAAAGTGTATTGCTTGAAGAATCGTCGGCCTTCACATCTTTCTGAGGTTTTGACTCTTTGCTTTCATTTTGCATTTTCCTCATAGATCTTCGTCTTGTCCCTGCGAACTCCATCTCCAAATTTTCGGGATCCGTTCTTAGGACATGGAATACTTTCTTAGCTAGGTCTTGTATGCACCGAGCCTAGAAAAACATCATGTGGTCTTGTTAATGAACTGTCATGCAAATCTTAGCTCTAAAAAACCAATAGAATCTTTAAAAGAAAGAAGAAAAAACTACCTGTCTGAAATAAATGGTGCCAGAGTGGTTGAAGTGCATTGCATTCTCTGGGATCAAGAATGCATCATGCTGCATAACCAAATGGAAAAGATGATGAAAAACTGTATTTTATTCATAAACAAGTGGCCCTTTTGGCAAAGTACAATATACTTGAAATGACTAAGTGCTCTCCGGTATTTATTTTACACTTGCTCGTTACTTTTAATGCCTAGAAATAAGTACAAGTACTTTGTCAATCTGTGATTAATTACTTATATTACACTAAAAATAATAGTTCTACTTTAGACACATTTATTTGATGAGGGCAGGAGATTGATATCTACCTCAAACTGCTCAAGATTCTCATACATCCCTTCATGAAGTTTAGCCCTCATGGTCCCAAAGTCCATTGGTTCTTTAATGATTTCATTATAATCCTCAACCTTTACCAAGAAAACATCAACTTTAAGTGGTTAAAAAAACTATTAAAAAAAACATATCAAATGAAGTTCATATGATTAAACCTCATGTGGGTCTACTGGTTCAGCAAAAATTTCATATGCATCTCTCCTGCAAACACAAAGTAAACTATACCGTCATACACACATGCACAAAGAATTAATAATCTGTGTGTCCTAAACGTATTAAATAAATCGCACCTTTGCAATATGTCTATAATTAACTCGAGTAGTCGCTTTTCTGGCAATTTTGTTGGTGCACCTAACAAACCGAATCAAGTTATTGTAGTTAAGAATTTCACATTCATTAGTATAAAAATGCATTTCTAAAAATACATTGGAAACAACCTCTACTTCAAAAGGTCTGTGTGTCTACACAGACCTAATCCTACGCGAAAGTAGAGAGGCTGTTTCTTGTTGTTGACTTGTTGTAATACAAAAACACAAACCAACACATAGGACTTTTAGACTACTTGTTCAATGACAGATGGAAAAGCCCTAATACTTGCTGCTGTTAATCAAGGCTTTCAAACTGTGGAGATTTCTAGAGAATCATGTTAGAACTTCGGATTGAGCAGTAACTCCCATCTAAACGAATCAACATCTTATCTTGAGTCACACGAACGCACACAAACATATGTAGTTTTTGAAGAATTGAAGGACTGACCATTGCTTGTTGATTGATGATGTTCATGCTTCTGCACTTTGCTTCTAGCATGCTGAACAGAGAGAAAAACAGAATCTAAAATCTCAGATTGTTGGAAAATGACACAAACTGTTGACTGACTGCAAAACAGCTGTTACAAGTTTACACATAAATATTGAAGTGACACACGAGTTTAACAAGACTAGCTTTGCGATGAACTTTGGATCGCCATTTATTTTGGGTTAAGATCGAACCTCAGAAACTTGTTTGGCAGCCAAATGGGGGAACTTTCTCTTGGCCCTCCCCTTAGCCCGGGAGGGTGGCCCGGGCTTTTTTCCTTTGCATTCTATCTTCTCATTTGCATCATCTGAAGCAATTTTTTTCCTCTCTTGAGTTTCCTTGTTGAGATTTAGAGCCGAAAGCCGGGGACTGTTTCTCCTTTTCTGGCTATTGCATTCTCCATCTTTCCACATTGATCTAAGCATTTTTATTTTCTTACACTATATTTTTTGCATTACAGATTATCATATAAAGAAGGGTGTGAGAATAATCCATTTATGGTTTCTGGTCCATTGCAGCTGTGTATTGCTAATATATGATGCAAAAACCATGAAGGAAAAGGTATGGGCAAAAATAGAAATGAGAGATAATGCAATGATCTTTTTGCATTGGAAAGTTTTTATGAGTTTTTTTAATGGTTCATTTTCTTAATTGTGAGTAATGAGATCATTACTTTCCAGATTAAGCTTTAGCATTATGATTACCAATGCTTCAAAAATCGGACTAAACGGGTGGATATAAAGAACTTCGGTTCGATCACGGTTCAATCATTTATTCGTCATTTAGTTGTCACCTAATTTTTGTTTTCATCCCTTGTTTTTGCATTTGCACACTTATAGTTTTCGAGTTATCAAATTACTAGTTACTAGAATTCTTTAGTGTGGGTTTAACATGATCATATTGTAAATACTAAATTCTGTATTTAACAATATCGTTGAAACGTAATATTATGATATTTATTTCTTTGAAATTACAACATTGGCTAGCTATGCCACCCAAGTGCAAAAGTGCACCTCAATAAGTGTTGGGGATCAACCATTTTGAGAGAGCCCTTCATTTGTGAGGAATTGTGACAATCTAACAAAAGTTTGATTTTTTGAGTATGTGAGTGAGTAGAGGTTAGGCCCGCCCATTAGCAAGTTCCATAGGTGCAATAGAACATGGCCTCTAAAATATAGGGGCCTATATTTTTTATAGCCCAATTATAATTATAAGCCAATAACCTAATATGTAGTATATTACTGGGTACTAAAGAAAGCAAAAGGCCGATGAGTTCCTCAGTTGTTCCAGACTTCTAGACTCTTCGCCTCTTCGGTTCCTCCGCTGCTGTCTAACGAAACTTCCTTCGCATCTTCCCAATTGCGATTCTTCCTCTTTTAATACAGAAAATAAACCATCTTCCTTTGCCGATTATAATTCCTCAACTTCTTCTTTTTTGGTGAGTTCTTAATTTTTATGTCTCTGTTTTTTTTCTTTCAAATTGACGTGCTACTTTCATCCTCTCAATGAAAATTCAGTTTTGCTGGTTTTTTTTGTCCACGGAAGTCAATTTAGGTGGTTTAGATTTGTTTGGAAATTATTTTAGTGTTAGAAATCTATATTTATTTTGCATCTTAAAATCTTAAATGATTCATTTTATCGTTTAATTGTTTCTTAATGTTATAAATTAGTGTTTCTTCTTTAATTTTGTAAGACGAGTAGTTCAATTCTAACTTTTGGTTTTAATCATTGATTTTTTTTTTGAGTTGCACAGGGCCACCTTAAATGATTGGGCGGCCCTGGTAGAGGTATGTAGAAAAAAGTAATTTTAACGACAAGAAATGAGTTATCTCTTGTAGTCGTTACTAGTAAAACACTAAAACCTCACTTTTATACGGAGTATTTTGTTATATAATACAAAGTCATTTTTTGCACTATATTTGCGCTAGAGCGTGAAAATAATTCTCAATTTTTACTTCGGATATATGTAATTTGGAAGTCTGGTTCTCAACTTTTTTTAGAGACAAAAAGGCGAAATTTGGGATACACGTCTAATATAATTTTTTATTTTGTCGTTAAAATAATCACTTTATAAATAAATAAATCAAAAAATTATTACTCCGGTATTTAGTGTGTTAGTACTTTGGAGTGAGATCTCCAAGTGTTCATGCGAGCCCATCCATGAATTGAACAAATAAAGGTCTGTTTTTACATAACACATTGGTGGATTAAGACTATGTTTGGTTTAAGGAATTTGGTAGGAAAAGAAAAAAAATGATTTTTTCTCATTTTCCTCACCAAAATGGGAAGAATTTGATTTTTCTTCCTCTTAGTATATCTTGCATTCTCTTTTTCTTTTTCTTCCACTTTTCTTTTCTTTTCTTTTCCTCTCTAACCAAACAACAAAAATGTTTTCCTTCTCATTTTCTTTTCTTTTCCCTCTCAAATTCCTTGAACCAAACATACTTTAACGGAATTTTCCAATAAATTGTTTTTATTCTCCTTTACTAATTTATACTACTACAGACATGTTCTTTTGGGTTGGAAAAATTAACTTTTAGTTTTTTTCAATTTCTCCCAGTTTTTTCCAACGACTTAAAAACGTATTTATATATGATTAATATAAAATAACATTTTATATCCAAATTTATTACATATTACCTCAAACACGGACAATGATGAATTCATTTTTATCTAAAATTAGAGTTCTTTTACATATTTATTTGAATTATTATTTAATCGAGTGACTTTTTACATTTAAATTCTTCAAATACTTTTCAACTCCTTCAAGTTTTTTCCAACTTCTTTTAGTTTCCTCCAACAACTGGGGCCATTATCGTCTCCCTCCTCGCCCTCCCCCCCTCCCCCACCTTCATATATGTTAATCCCACATTCCCACTCCTACCTACTACCTCCGTCCCGATATATTCGTCCGCTTTTGACTTTTGAAACTGTTCATCTAAGCACTTTGACTCATCAAATTCTATCAATGTGTAAGCCTAAATATAGTCATGTGTGATCTTGTTTGATTTGTCTTAACATATAGATTATTAATATATAATTTCTATAATTTTTTAATATACAAATTACAAGATAAAATGAATTAAAGAAATGTATTGGATAGTGTGTAAAAATGAAAGTGGACAAATACTCTGGGACAGGGAGTATTTCTTAATGGATTGCTCAAACAAATTTGTGCTTCTATTATTCTCACCCAACGACCTCCCTAGCGCAGCCTGTTTCTTTATGGCTAAGCAGGTTAATGGGTTTATTATACTCCTTCTGTCCCATTTTATAACGCCTGTTTCGGTTTATGATGTTTGACTGAAATTATTTTTAAATCATTTTATATGACAAATGGTATAGAGTTAAAAAATAAAATTTACATATTAAAATACTACATCAAAAGATCTACAAAACTAGTAGTGACAATAGTACTTTATTTTATCAAATTGCTAATGAAAATAGAGAAAGAAAGTGAATGAAGTTTGACTCTGTAAATAGTGAACATGCATATAATTTGGAACGGAGGGAGTAATTTTATTCTTAATGAGCTAAGCAGCTTAATGGGTTGTGTTCCCATCATACATACTGCTCCATGTGGCCTAAAAACTCTTCGTCATTTAACTTATTTTGGTGAAACATTGATAACCATAAATTAAATATAATTTAAATAAATAAATATTATTAAAATTTGATATATCAAATCTATATCCTTACATAAATTTTGAATTTATATTATAATTCAATACAATTTTCTCACAAATTATGGTTAAATAGTATCACTCTTTCACCAAAAAAATTCAAAACATGAAGAATTTTAAGGGTCAGAGAAAGTATTTCCGTTAAAAAAAGAATTTGTATTATATTCCTTTGTCTATTCTAAAATGAATTTATTGCACCAATACCCCTTGTGATTTGGTAAATGAGCATCGCTACTCCTCATAAATTTGAAAATTACGTTGTTGCCCTCATAGTTCTGATATTGCTAAACTAAAATATTCTTTAGATATTAAGTGATTAGCTCTGTTGCCCTTATGGTTTTTGAAATACGCACCAACGCCCCTTCTCGTTTTTCGTTATTGGTTTTGTCTCAAATTAAATATTTTTATTTTTTGTCCAAATGAGGTTTTTATTCATTCATTTTCATGATACAAAATTCGACATAACATTCTCTTTTTACATTAAAGCCCATTTCTCATTTTCTGTTCATTTTATAGTTTCTTTATTTGTTATTTTTCCCTTTTTCATTTTTTCAAAAAAAATAAATTTTACACCATTTCTTTTATTTTAATAAAAAATAAAATAAAAGAAAAAAGAATAGAAAAGAAAAGTACATGAAAATACTTTTATAAAATAGGGGAAATTAAGTCATGAAAAAAATGTTTTGCGTATTTATCCAAAATATGTTGTTAATATATAATTAACTATACATGAAAAAGACCTTACTCTGTATTGATCTGGTCTCAACATATTCATAAAATTAATATGTTAAAGACCTTACTCACAACATTAATAGGTATAAACATTTTCCACCCATAATATTAATATGTACTCCCTCCGTCCCAGAGTATTTGTTCACTTTCATTTTTACACACCATTCAATACACTTCTTTAATCAATTTTATCTTGTAATTTGTATATTAAAAAATTAGAGAAATTATATATTAATAATCTATATGTTAAGACAAATCAAACAAGATCACACATGACTATATTTAAGCTTACACATTGAGAGAATTTGATGAGTCAAAGTGCTTAGATGAACAGTTCCAAAAGTCAAAAGTGGACGAATATAGCGGGACGGAGGGAGTATGACAATTCTATTCATACTATATATCGGTGAAATATGTACTTCGATGAAAATGTGTTAGTGTACATCATGATGTATCCCATTTTATATGAGTTATTGCATCGTTGTAGAGATGTTCTGTGATAGACCTACGAACCTCTAAAGTCATGTTTTCTTCACTTGATCTGAATGACTCTGATCTGATTAAAATAATTTATGATCTGATCTGGTTTAATCTGAATGTAATTATACTTAAAGATGTTTCTGATCTGATCTGGTCTGATTCCAATAAAAAATAATAAGTAATAAAAATACATTGAAGAGAACATGACCTAAATTAGTGGGAGGACTAGTTGCAAAAAAAATTATTTTACATGTATAATGTAATTTGAATAATATTTTAGAGAGACAAAAGCAAAAGTTGCTTAATTTACAAGAACCAAAAGCATATTTAACCCAAAATAAAATATAAATTGTAGGCCACACAGAGCCTCCAAAATTGGCACAAAACGTCAGAGAGAAAGTGTAGGCTGCACAGAGCCCCCAAATTTTGTAGCCCAAAAAAAAAGGTGCACATAAGAAGTGTTTTTTAGGTAAAGATGACTTCTTTCTAATACGGGGAGTATTATTTTCGTCGTTAATATTACATGAGAAGATAAGCAGAATAAAAGAATTGAATCACATTTTTGGTATGAACACTGGGTTGGGAGTTGTACATATGAGGGCTGAAAGTAGTAGTAGTAGTAGAAGTAGTAGTACCGGCTTAGAACAATATGTTGAGATAGAGGATGATCCATCCGGCCATAGAGAAAACCGCAAAAATGTGAACCCAAAACAGCACTGCCGCCGCCTCTCTACCACACCCTCTCAAATTCGCAACCGCCCCTGCCATGGAAGGAAAAAGATAACGACTTTTTTTTAAAATTTTTCAAAATTAATAGATTTATTTTTGCTACGTACTACTTTGTTTGTGTTGTGTGCCTTTGTTCGTTTACATTGACTGTGCTTGAGCTGGGTGTCTTTTAGAAACAACCTCTCTGGCTACTTTTGAGTAGGGGTAAAATCCTCCCGGACTCTACTTTTAGTGGGATTTTATTGTTGTAATAGAATTTATATTTGGTTTCTTATTGTACAATCCGTTTGGTACACGGAATTCATATTATGTAATTGGAATTGGGGGCTTCAATTCCAATTCTGGTGTTTGGTAGCACAAAAATTATGTGAATTTGGAATCGATAGTGCAAAAAATGAATTGGAATTGGTAGAATTCAATCCTATGGAATTAAATCCAATGGAATTTCAATTCCAATTCCATCAATTCCGTATACCAAACGGACCCTGAAATTATGTCTCTCCCCTATAGAAAAAGAGGTTTTGGTTTTGGGAAGAGAGGTTTAGTTACCGGAAAGCACAGAAGTTGGCATGGTGTGTTGGAGGAGGAGGACAAATCTGAACATCTTGTCACCGGCGGGAAGGAAACCGAGTCTATCAGCCAAAGTGACAATTCCAAGCCCTGTTGGAGGAACTAAAACCAACCTCCCAAATATGATCGCAGCCGTTGTCCGTAAACCAAGTTTTGAACTTCCTGGACCTGCAGATTTTTGAACAACCAATTACTTACTAACGTATCTGAAATAGCATCATTCTTGATTTGTTATACGGAGGGAAAAAGACTAAAGTAATAGTAAAATATAGAAAATATACCAAAATAGGAATTCCATGTTTTTATTCTCAAAATAGGAGTTAAAATGCATATACAATGCCCAATCATGCCAATATATAATACCAAAAAGTATTGTGAAATGTCCATATACAGATCCACATTATCGCAGTGCAAATTCCTATTTTGGAGTTAAAAATATGGAGCTCGTATTTTGTTACTTTCTCTATGTTTTACTCCTATTTAGGGTGATTTCTTTTATATGAGTAAGACATCCATTTTGCAGACGACTTACCCTCAACAAGATTGCCTCCTAATGCCAATAATATGCATGGAATCATGGCCTCCCTGATAGCAACAAGAGACAACCGCTTAGTTAAGTTTACTATGAAGAGACAAAAGAAAAGGTGAAACTAAATAAACCACATAAACATTACCCAAGAATAAGGCAGCTGTCAGTGAAGAAGTAAAATGGACCATCTGAAGTGAATATAAGTTTCTTGAAGAATGGAACACATCCTAAGAAGATAGCTAGAATCTGTTTCAAAGAAAACGGATTGAGTGGCGGTTAATTCAAAGCCAGGAATGTGGAGTCACCCTTGGGCAGTAAATAGAAGAGACAAGCCTAAATTACTTACTGAAGCAATTATGGGTGGTTGGATGATTTGCTGAAGCTTCAACTTTTCGTACAGAAACCTGAAGAATTCCATAATCTGCAAAAAAAAACCAGAATCAGTGCATTAGAGCTATTATAAGTTCCAAAACACCAGAACCATATTGTTAATAACTTTCATAAGGTAGCGTTTGGGAACTAGCATTTCATTTCAATTCTTGCATTTCAATTCTAAAATTTGAATTCTTGAATTTCAAATGACAAGCGGCAACATGTGGATTTGCAATTGAGCTTTGTAATGAATTAGAGGAATTTGCCTCAAATCAAAAACCAATTTTTTCAGATTTCCCAAACATGGAATTTGAGCCAAATCTAGATTTGAAATCTAAATTCCAGTTCCCAAACATGCCGTAAGGAAAATTATATTTATGTATATCTGGTTTTCTCTTGCAGTAATATTATCACCTACCTTATCTTTGTGTGAACCAGTTGACTCGGGAGTTGGAGGCTCCTGCACAAGCAACGGAAGTTGCTCATGGGAGATATCCTTTGCAGCAGTATGTGAGCTAACTCTATTAGGAGCCTTCGTTGGAAGATGCCCATCTTCAATGTCAAAGGTACCTTCCGGAGGAGGTGCAAGCATATGGAATACGTACGTGTACAGGATGATTGCTCCAACCTAAATGCAAGATTCAAACGTTTGAGTTCCATCCCATCCCTTTTTCCACTTCGTAGATAAAGCCAAAGAGCACCAGTAGCAGTTACAGTATAATTTTCAAAATTTGGTGGCAGCTAAATAGAATCTTGCATTATCTTATTGATGCTGACTTTGCCTCTTTTTCTATTTGCAAAGTTCTCAGAAAATTTTGAAACACCTACTCTCTGTACTATATCTTTTCTCAAAGAATTACAATACAAGCTTTTATATTAAAAATTATAGTTTCACACTAAAAGGAAGTCATGATAAGCGATTAACTGATTACAAAAACCAAAGAATTGGTTCTCACGAGCTCACATATCAAATTCGTCTCGTAGTTTTTATCCTTAAGTTCATTATTTTATTCATTTGGTTCCAGAGACTCTCTCCAACTCACACGGAGAGAGGAATCAACAGTACCACATACATTTGAGAAGCGGACTTTAAAATGTTAACCGGGATGCAAAATATCTTAGAATACTCGAAGTTGTTAGGTACAGTGCCACACTACGGCCCCAGGAAAAGTCAGAACAAACAACAGGACTGGGAACCATGGTAGAACCTGAGGATCTTGGTCAACTCATTTGGAGTTCCCCGTAGCACAGTTAGCACACTAACAAAAGAGAGTAATTCAATCAGGTCACTCAAGTATTTAAAGCCCAACTTCTGCCTGATTTCTCATAAATCTCCCTTGCAATATATCACTTGGACAGTTGGACCCAAAATCCAACCAATGGTGACAGGGGTGTGGCACACGTATCAATGAACACATCATGAGATCACTTAAGTTGAAGAACATACTTCCGACAGCAAACCTTAATTCTCTTAGAGTGACGTAGAATTTAAGTGCCTAGAGCACAGTGCACAGTTGGTCAAAAGAAGCTCTTTTTGGTGAATACATGTGTGGCTTAAAATAAAACAAAAATTGAAGTGGTGGGTATACTATCTCCCAGAACCTATCTAGATGCTATATGTTGGGCACACTAAAGATAATCAATTACAACACGGGAGAAGGTCCAACCGGTCGACTCAGAATACTCATTCTAGTGGTACAATGGTACATATCAATGAGAGTCTGCATGGTGCTAATTGCTAATATGGATCTTTTTAGGAGAAGATGTAACGACAAAGGACACTAAGTGCATACTAGATTACAATGAAAATTCATGTCGAATCACATCTTGGCTCCTGCTGGAACAAAGAAATCATATATTGGGATTATGCCACCGAAGTGGGGTGTATCAAAGAAACTCATTCAAAATCCTTTGCACGCAAGCTCAAGAGTGAGTCAAACAGAACCTGATGCACAGAGAATTATTTATACGCTAGGCAGTGGACTGGGGCCTAACACATAATCAGGTTTATGTAGGATAAGGAGTGAAAACAGCCAACCTAAGGAAAAAATAGAGAGATCAAAGGAGACCCAACATTTGGCAGAGGCCTAGGCAGAGATGTTTACAAGAGTGTTTGTACAACAAAGCAACCATTATTGATTATGGACTAATTTATCTTTATTGATAGCGGCTCAGCTCGCAGTTTCATAAACAATACTGTTTTCAAATGTTGGTCATTCTATCTTCCACTAACTGGAATGATGTGGTCCTTTTTATTCAATGGCTCACCCAAGTGGGTGTGGTAAATGGTAATTACCGATTGGCAGAGGATGAATATGTGATTTAGGTGGGATAACCAGGTCCATGTGCTGAGGATAATTCAATCATGTTATTGGAAGCAATGTTGCATCATTACTTGCATGAAGTAGAACTATGGAAGAACTTGATCTTTGATTTCTTTGTGTTCCACATCTGACCTACATAGAAGCCACCATTACACCTTCTATAATGAAACTTTTTGAGAATTATAAAGATCTTCTGAACCATAGGAAGTTTTGGGTATCAGATAATATTTTCATAAGTTTGTCCAAGACAAGGGACTGTGGCAAGACTACTCACCAGTCACCAGCCTTCTTGGGAAGGAAAAACTCTGATGATTGAAAAACACTATGACTTCTACCACACTTTTTTCATTCCTGATTTCCGAGGGCCCTTTTATTTAACAGGGACACATTGTACTAAATAAAATGTACAGGTTAGCAAAAATATTAGGAAATGACTTTTTTTGTTAGTAAATGCCTTTGAACAATATCTTCCAAGTTTTGTTAATTTGCACCTGTGACAATGGCTCTAAGTTTTTGCGAAGGACCGCGTTTCGGTACTATACTGCCTTTCATGGTTCAATGGTACAAATCCAATTCAGGTTCTCTATGCCTCTATGGTTGGGCAACCCTCTCCATACCCCCAATAGTATTTATGTGTTAGATTGTCTCCTATGCTCTGGTGTTCATATAGAAGAAGTGGATCAATGTCTATTTTCTAAAATCCAGTATCAGTTGCTGAGTTTGGGCACGAAGTGACGTCAACACCATTTTCTTAATAAAAAGACTGGTAAGGTATTGAAGAAAGCATTGACAATGAAAACTACATACCCATTGGCCAAATGAGATGTATGCGTTTCCATCTTGAGAGCACTTATCAGAGTCACCAAAAGGATTTGATTTATCACGGCATAATGCTGCAATCAGCACAAGTGGTACATTCCCAATATTCCCTATATGTAAATGCATCAAACACAAGTTAACTTTATGCACAACAAGGATTTACAAATATTAATGCCAAAGTGACTCTTTTAATTGCTCCATTTTTCAGCATAACTTCAATGAGACTAGTACACACTCATAATATCATTTACTCCTTTCATCTCTAGATTATTTTCTCACTTTTCGGTTGTAGCTCGTCCCAACTCCCAAAATTATAGGTTATTTACATTAAGGAAAGCAATATGCGGTTCACATTACTTCTTTTTCTTGTAAATAAATTTTAACCACACATTTTTCGTCCTCTTAAATTCTGTGCGCGGTCAAAGTTGTCAATAATTGTGAGAAACATCTATTTCCACTGTGCACATGATAGTCCAAAAGTACTGAAATCTAAAACATTTGGCCTATTTATATATTTTCATTCAAACACTCCCACAAAGCTTTATTCCGCCACATAAAACCCGAACTATAGAACCGGGAAAAAACAGAACACCTAAAACTCTACAAAAACGATCCGAATTTGACGTACCTATTCCAATATGTATAATCGTAAACTTGAAGAATGGATATGGCGGACGGATGATTGTTGCAATACATAGACCTATTATGGAGCCTGATATTGTGGCAAGGACAACGTTAACCGGGATAAACCACCTGACAAACAGTAGGGTATAACATTAGATAAGTTCAGTGAAGATGTGCTTGCAATACTATAAGAAGCAATAGATCCTCACCACTGAAGCATCTTGTCAAATGTGATTGCTTGTCCAAGTTGGGCAAATATCAGGCACGGGAGTAAAAGTGAAAAGACCAACTGCATTTTGTTTAATTCATCTTAGTTGGTAGTTCAGTACTTAGCAGGCAGAAATTCGATCATGACGATGTATTTCCTAGTCATAACAAATATGAGCAAATATAAACTCCCTCAGTCCCATACCAAATAGCATCCCTTCCTTTTTGGTTTGTTCCTATATACAGCTGCCCTTTCTATTTATTAAAAGTTAAGATGTAACTTACTTCTCTATCCTCATTTAATATCTCCACCATTTATCCGTACTCTCAACGACATATAGAAAAAAGGACAAACTAGGAAGCGATAAAGGAAAAATTATTCAATTAAAACCATGCCAAGTTAAACACCCAATAATGTTATTCAGGAGCTGAGGGAATATCTAGTAAACTACTATGACCAAGAATCCTGAAGCAATTACTGAATGTGAGATTGAAACATCCTAGAGATGCCAGTGAAACCCCAAGTAGTTTCATTATAAACTAGGAAAAATTTCTGTCCAAAATTAAACTTCATGTTTGCTTTTTCAAGGAGTTTAAGAGAGTGTGAAATTATGTGATTGAGGTTTATGCAGAATAGAGTAAAATAATGGGAACCTTTCATTGTTATCCTTAAAAGGAATGGGAATTTATTATGGGACGGTCCAATAGCATCAAGATATGAAAAATTGGTTCACAACAGACTTACACTATGTTTGGTTCAAGGAATTGGAAGGAAAAGAAAAGAAAATGGTTTCCTCTCATTTTCCTCACCAAAAGGGGAGGAATTTGGTTTTCCCTCCACTTGGTACATTTTGCCTTCTCATTTTCTTTTCCTTCCCCTTTTCCTTTCTTTTCCCCTCTAACCAAACAAAAAAAATTGTTTTTCCACTTCATTTTCTTTTCTTTTCCCTTTCAAATTCTTTGAACCAAACATAGTGTTAGAGAACTAAACTAGAGATTCAAGAATCAAATAAGAACAGAAAGTGACATAGACGAAACGGGGTGAATGTACTTATGTACCTCAATGTAAACGTGAGAATGCTTACCCCGTTTAAAAGTTTTCTTCCATTTGCAGGCAAGACATTGACAAACTTAGAAGCCATGAGAAACCCCATGAAGCACATTGTGAAAACTTTAGCAATGGGTAAAACTGCAATCTTGATAGAACCAAGCAACGACTCCCCTCCGCGTTGAGGTTCTGTGAGAACCTCCACAAGAAACCTCTGCATTCTATCCGTCATCGTACCCAAATCTCTCTAACTCTCCTTCAGATCAAACAATCTCTTTAACTTCTATTTACCATGCCAGGGAAAACAAGAACAAAAGCAGCAACAAATCCGCAATTTGATGGGAAAACCCAGTGCGTTTCCCAGAATGATTTCTGTACAACGTTTACAAACCAAGAATCCCAAACAAATCAGATTGTGTGATTGAATCCTGCAGGTCAAAGCTCCACAATCATCTGGATAATCATTTGAGACAAAAGTTTCTACTCCCACCTGCACAACCTAACTAAAATAAAAGCAAAACACAACACGAGAGTCACGACAGACAATGTCACCCAATCATGTGAGACCCAAATTCCATAAACCAAACCTCAAATTAACCAAAAATTTTTTTTAATTTTTTTATTGGATTAAACTGACCCACGATTTTTTGGAGAAGAGGAACTGGGCGTGGATTGCCAAGCAGAAAAAGGGGAAATTTTGAAAAAAAAACATAAAATAAAATAATTTTAAAGTGTTAAAAAAATATAAAAAAAACATAAAAGATAAGTACCCTTTGGGGCAACGTAAGGTCTTGGCGAACGAGGATGAAGAAGAATCTGGAAACCGCAAAGTCGCGTTTGGGAAGATGAATTAATTATTGAGTCCGTGAGGTTTTGAAAACCAATCAACTGTTTATATATACATCATAGACCGCGACAAGGATTGGATTGAGACGCCGACAATGGCCCCGCAAACGATCGAAGCATATTTTTATTGTGCCAATTGTATCTCTTGTCTTCTTCTTCATCTTCTTCCGTATTCTTCGCTGGGATAAAGGGATTGGGTAATTATTCCAGGAAGTGACATTTGAGCGTCATATGGGGATTACGGCGGTGGCCAGGGCGGGCTGAATTTGGCTGCAAGCTAATTTCTTCGCCGGAAATCGGAATGGAAGACTGCGCGAAAGTGCCATGTGGCTGCAGGCAAATTTCTTACTATTTGTCTTTATATCGGGTGTGTAAAATTTAATCTTAATGTAATTTATTTATAAAAATTCTTATAGAAATAAAAAATACTCCATATAACTTATATATTTAAAAATTATTAAAAAGTGGTAACATGCATTTTTTATTTTATCAAATGTTCAATGAAAACTTCTATACATTTTTAAAAGTTATTGGAAGCCTCAGATAGTAAAGAAGATAATTAATTTTAGTAAAGAAGATAACTAATTTAAGACGAAGGGAGTATGTATTATTAAAATAAAAATAGTACTCTATTATAAAAATGTAAAATTGTAGTTGACTTTCAATTTTGTCCATGGTGTGATGGTAAATATAAGATGTGATAAATAGATTATTAGATAAAAAGTATGATATGATAGGTAGGGTATGAAAAAAATAATGATAAAAGTACTTTTTTAATAAAAAGTGAAAGTGTCTTGCTCGAAGTAAAAAAATGAAAGATAGAGTGGTATTGAGAACACAGAGAGTATGCAATTTTTTTTTTTTGTTTTTGTACTTTATAAAATAAAAAAGATAAATTCTTACTTTTCTTTTATTCCAATATTTTGTTGATTTATAATAAGCCTCTTACATCATGGATATTTGTTTCTAAAATAAAAGTTGGATGAAATGAACCAAAAAAAAACTATAAATTGTATTTTGGTGAATTTAAGATTGTTTATTTTGTTTTACTTTATTAGCAAATTTATAAAAAAATTAATACAAAACATTATTTTTTTGTATTGACATGATAAACATATTTATATAAAAATTATGTTTAAAGTATAAACATATGTAGTATTTGTATCAAAAAAATATTTTTCAAATGTGTTTAAACTCTAGTCTTAGATCGGTCTCGTGTCAACATCCAAAGAAGGCAGTTGTAAACGTGTCAGATCAACTCTTTGTCTTCAAGAGTTCATAAATTTATTTGGAAAATGATTACAAATTGTTTCTCAAACTCATAATTTTTTTACGAAGAATTTTACTCCGGGGTATTTAAGTAGTTAATCTAAAGTTATATTAAATTCAAAGGCACGTTTAATGGAAGTTAGGCAGTTGGTAAAGGCAGAAAGTGTCAAGTGGTATATCCGATTTTGATTTCTGATAACTGCATTGGGAGGTAACTATACTAAGCATAGAGTGTAACGCCCCAAAATATACCCTAGAATTATTAATAAATAAATAATCAATTAATCAAATTGATTTTGATTAAAATAAATTGTTGTTGGACTTTGGGCCGAAATAAAATGTGTTTTGATATCCAATATCATAAGCAGGGTAAATCTCATAGAGATAAACCCAATGTGTTGACTATTTGTGTGGTCTTGATTGGGAACCTGAGTACAGACCCAAATCAAGAATAGATGAAAAAAATATTTATGACGTAAACTTTGAAATGATTTATTGAAATAAATCATTAGAACAAATGAGAATAAATTAAATATGAGAACCTTTTATGATAAAGGTCAATTAAACTAATTTTGACTCTGTCGAAGTCAAACACCCAAAAATATGATGTCGGAGAAAGTATAACGAATAAATATAAAAATTATATCTCGTTGGATAGAGTTTAATTGTCTGATCACAACGGTGCAAACGGAATTCAATTCAGAGAAAGTTGGACCAAAAAGTGTACCCCGACTAGGACCAAAATTAGTCCCAATCAGTGAACGGCGTGTGAAATCCTACAAATCCGCCGTCCTGCGCACTAAATCGATCACCAACGAAGAAATGGAATCCTGAGTCACACTCATGTCTTCTTCACTTCTTCTCCTATAAAAGGAACTCAATCTCATCCATTTCTTCATCAAATTCCTTCAAATAAACTCTGAGATGAAGCTGTGAGTGTAGAGAACAAAGTGGGGCTGTCAATTTGGGGTGAAGTCGCCGGAGCTAGCCACAAACCTCGCCGGAAGTCTCGCCGGAAAAGTCTCAAAACCTTCGATAAGCTTCGAGGTAAGCCCGTTGATATATCTAGTGACTAGAATGTTCGTATAGATCGTTTCTACGTTCATAAACGCTCATTTGGTTGAGTTTTGTGTTTGACATGCTTCAAGAACCAAGAATCATAAACCATGAATTTAATGTTTAAACTATGAATTAATGATACCAAAATGACCTATGAACCTTGGAGAACATCCCTATATAGTTTCGTTGAAGTTCACCGTCTGAAAATGGATTTTCCAAAAAATGGACCGAAGGTTGAAGAAGATGAACAGTAAGCTGAAACCCACTGTCTGGATCGATCCAGGGGCTTGGATCGATCCCCTGGGAGTGATTTTTCATAGTTTGGATCGATCCAGAGGGCTGGATCGATCCCCCGAAGTCCTGATCCGAAAATTTGTCTGAAAATGCTATTTTTGAGCTCTAAAATCCTATTTTTAATACCAATTGATTATGATCATTATAAAAATGATTTACCACAATAAAAATGATGTTTTTAACAACTAAAAATGATATGTGTTGCATGACGGTAAGTTCGGGTGTTAACACTCGAAGCTAGGCCGCTATTTGTTATCATTGGTTATGTTAATTGATGATTATGATAAATGAATATTATGGGTGATTATGAGTAATGAACCCACTGATTAAAATAAGTATTTATGATCGAATCATGAGTAAAATGAATACAGTTATAGTTATGAAATGATTTGTAGTGTTAAAGGTATCTA